ACTATATAACACTGAGAAACTTCGTATCACTGAAATCACAAGAAAGACAAGAAGAGGACACGTCAGTAAATCCTCCCAAGAACTCACACAGTTATCTACCACGAAAACTAGAAAAGTCGTAGACCGTGTACTTAAGGACTGGCAAGTAGTCTTATCCCTGTATAGTTGTGTTGTCACTATATACGCGTCCCATATAAGACCCTTAAGTAGCAAGACAACGTGCTCGTGCCTCGCCCTGGCTAGAACACAATCTATGCTGTGATCTCGCAGGTGTAAAGGACAGGCATCAATTGACAATCAATTTTGGTAATGGCAGTGTGGGATGACAAGTGAGTGGCTAAGGTCAGGTGTCTAACAAAGGCTATGGTATAGTGTTTGGGCAAAACCCTACAGGGTTTTCGACTGAAACATGCTTTGCACTCCCAAAGGTGGGGGCAAGAGAAGCTGAGATTCCCTATATTTAGGAGCAAAAACGACTGCAGCTGGCGTTAGCTTGTCCCCGAAAAGGAAGGAGTGCCTGCGAACACTTACAAATCAAGATGGCAAGGCATACCACATAAAAGGTTCTAAAACAGGGTGATCCTGCAGGTAAGGTGCCAGGATTACAGCGTGCTTCCGAAGGTAGCGTACGAAAGCATCACTGTTCCACCATCCCATGACTTTGACAGTGTCAAAGGGGACACCGCGCAGAAGATATTCGAGGGTGCCTCCAATGCTGTATCCCATGGCCCTTCAAGTCTCCCTTTCCGGAGCAGTCGCTAGCCTGTTGTAAACATTTGATAAAGGCGCTCCATGTGAGGACTCTCAATCCCGTACGGTGACGCCAACTGAACAGGGCATCAGATGGGGAAGGATGATTGACAGCGAAATGGTTGTGTAGGGCCGCTTCAGGATCTAACAAGCCAGATTGAGCTGCCCAGTAGACGTCTTCTCCAGTGGGGGATGTTTTGGTGCGTGGAAGATGAAAAACGACCACCTTGAAACCATGTCGGTGACACGCATGAAACCTGTTTCATACATGATCACGGACACATAACATACTCTCGTACAACCTAATACTGCCAATAAAGGCAGTTCTAATGTCTTAGGGCTTTATTACAGTTTACTATAATTTTCTTGAAGGTTTTTCATAGCTACATGAATTAATCATTCATATTACGTACTTAGCACAGTCAACAAACTGTGTTAAAAAACCTTATCCTTTCATTAGTAAGCACATTCCCGCACCTTTCAGGATTTTCTTGTACATTTTCCCACCTAATGAGCCATATTCGTGTTAACATCTTAACATCTCAACATCTGCGCAGTCATCATCTGAGCAGTGTCAATCTTCTTACATAATCTACATTTTGTTTAATGATTAGTCATAGTTTCTGGACAGTTCCGAAATAGCGGTAATCTCTAAGTGAACATTTGGACACTGAGTCATAGTGAGTCACATGGAGTCATTATGAGTCACTATTCCATATTTAGTAGTTGCATAGCCACCTGTAGAGTAGTATATAAAGGGACATAGTTTCCCTCTTTGAATAATAAGATCCCTTTTTAGAGAGTTTGCGTACCTCTCAGAAAGTTTCTCACCCCTTAATATCTGTGTGAATACTGAGTGAATATTAGTTTATTCCCTCCACTCTTTTGTCACTGTTTCCCACGACGTTCTGACTACCTGAGGCCACCTCTAAGTCACATTAAATTACTCTAGCTAGTGCACGGTTACTAGTCGTCTAGTGTAGTTTCACTGCAATTCTCTTTACGACACAGGAAATCAATTCTGTGGGGAGAAATCCACGTACTTTAACGATTGAGGACGATAAATAGGACTTATACTTTAGTCAACAATATTAAGAGCTTGGCCACTTAAGACTACATCAAGAAGGTGTATTCTAGTCTGGACTGCGTCATTACTCATTGTGAGATCCTGAGCAGCAGAAAGGTCGGGTTTGAGGCCAAGTATTTGATTGATTCAACTGTATCCGACTCCTAGTTTGATCTCCCCTGATTGTGAGAATAAGGAGTATCCTAGAGATATCGCTCTGACTCACCACGTATCACTGTAATTCACGTAACTTTCCGTAATCTGCGTACTGTCGCATCATTATCCCTGAAGAACCCTAAGTACTGCATTAAGCCAGTTAATGGGCATTGTTCCTGAGATTCCCGAATATCTCACCCCTTTTTTTAGTCATTGGTAAATTTGCTCAAGGAGAACGCAATCTATATTTGCACCCCCACGAACGACCACGTTATCAACCGTTGGTATTTGTCTGAACCGTTGACCGTGGAGGATAAGTGAAATTTGGTGTTTTTATTGCCTTTCACATCCTAGTAAGACATCGGTCAACGTCAAACCGGATGTCGGCGACTTTGACATTAACCTCAGGGTCAAAACTCTTCAGCGATGACACAGTAAACTCCCCAGTGCGTGCTATGGTAAAGAAGGACATTGTAAGACACGCGAACACTGCAGCGTGCAATGGGGAGGACAAGTCAAGGGATGAGCGGATGGCCAGGAGTAATGTTGTAGTGAAAGGAGCACATTTTGGACGAGTCGATTTAGCCGGGGCAAAGTGTCTCACCCCTTCGAGCGTGAGGGAGGCTTGTGCTTGGTCAACCAGCCAGGGTTGTCCATGTAAGAGATGCCACGCACGTATCCCAGAAAAGTATGTCTTGAGTGTCGAGCCTGAGTACAGTCCAGCGCACCCTGCCAAAAAGGCCAGAAGGAGGACACTGGACACTGGACACCATTGCTCCTCAGGCACGTTATGGGAATCACAGAAGACGTGAAAAACCAAAATACCGGACCCATACACTTCACGTGTGCTGGGCGCGTGAGAGTGTGTGATAACCAATAAAATGCGGTCAATGTCACTGTCGGACAGTGACACCAAGGTCCCCGCATGGTCGAGATGAGAACGTGACACGGCTGGCACCCAAAGGCGCAGCCAATCACGTGCTAGACAGTGGGGACGAAGGGAGGAGGGTCGAGGTGTCAGTGATGGGAGGTAGGGATGGGGGTGTGCGGGGGTGTATGTCGAACGCAGTGGGGTTAATGTGCTGAAACGGGAGATGTCAGTCTCTCCAACTCTCGTGGTACTGGAGGAGTTCATTTCCCCAGCTGCTGGCAGGTGCCTCGTCAACCAACCCATCAATAGTTGCGTGGTGGGAGCAGGAGTCGCTGGGGACGTGTCTGGCCTGGAGGTCTGCATCAACAAGGAATTTGGGGAGGTCGCCGGGGAGAGCGATGGGAGGGAGGAGGAGGTGACGAGGGGGATAGACACCCCTGGAAGGCCCGTCGGCAGGGTTATCACGGCTGGGCATGTAGTGTAAGTGAAAGGAGGTTTCATCATCCAGGGACTCAAGGCGGTCAGATATCCGCTGGAAGACGGCGTTGGTTGCCCAGTTCCGGCTCCATCCATTCTTCCAACCATCAACAACTCCCTGGTTGTCGCAGAAGACACGGAAGTGTCGTGGCGAGGCGTCCACCCGACTGTTGAGGATTGCAGTGACAAGCAACTCGAAGCCGACACACTTAGCCCACCCGATGTCACGCTGTCCGTCGAGAGTTCACCATCCAGGCTGGAGAGTCCAGGCCCGCCAATGCCCATTGATAACAATTGCGATGCTGACGGATGTACTCGCGTCGGAAAAGGCATGGATGTTGACTGGTGACCGAGGCTGGGGGATGGGACAGCCAAGGAAGGAATACGAGAGTCGTTTAACCCACCAGTCAAGGTCCTCGTCAAGGTGTTTGATGGAGTGGTGTGGCATGAAAGGACGAGGACCGCATACCTTGAGCATGGCCTCCAGTCTGGTGAGGCGAGAACGTCCTGATGGGATGACCAGGCAGGCATGGAGTAGTTTACCATACAGTCTCTGGACGTCGAGAAGGACATGTGTTGGCGTAGAACGCCAGTCCGAGATGGCAGCTTTGTATTTCTTGGCCTTCGCGGGAGACAGTTGGACTGTAAGTTGCGTGATGTTCCACAATAAACCCAGATAGAGGGCGATGAAGGCGAAGGCAATGTCTTTGGTGGGTTCCCAGGGTATTCCCAAAGGAATGGACATACAGTCAATGTCGGTGAAGGCATAGGAGAAATCAGAGTCGAGGGAGGAGCGTGGGGATGAGGATGAAAGATCGCAGATGGGGAACCTAAAGTCTTCAGCGTGGACATCGAACAAGTCATCATCAAAGGATGTGCCCTTATACCAAAGACATTCTCCAGCCTGTTGCTGTCCTCCGCATGCCAGTATCCTCCGTACGGACATGTGATGTGCGTTGTATTCCTGTAGGTACTCCCTTCTAATGCGGAAGAACAAATGATCATCCACCCACTTTGTGACAGGTCCGATACCTTCTGCGCGCAAAAGATCGACACCTGCATCAGCAACATGACCATAAACGCCGGCAGAAGGTCCCATACCAAAGGACACGCAAGTGTCGATGCAGAGTGTCTCGTCAGGCAGTCGCACAACTGCTGCAGGCCATTGGGAGTGGTGGAGAGGAACAGTACGGTACACCTCAGCCACATCACACGTCGCCGCTTGGGAACCAGGAGGTAGCAAACGGATAATGGTACAGACTGTCTCGAACATTCCCCAGGTGCATGAAAAGTCATCAGAGTCAACAAGTGAGTTGATAGACGGGTTGGGATATGCCAAAGAAGGTAAGAGCGGGAAGGAGAAATTCTGTATGACGCGAAATTTGCCGGGCTTCTCAGGCTTGGGTATAATAGATATGGGTGAAGACTGGAAAGGACCGAGTAAAGAGAGTAATTCAATGTGCGAGAAGGGACCAAGATAGCGACCAGTAGCCAGTTCACGTTCGAGTATTTTATCAAAGGCATCGCGAAACAGAAGAAGGGAGGTACTATTACTGGGCAACTGTGGCACAACAATGGGGGGGAATACTAAGATCGAAACCAAAACGAAGACTCTGCGGTAAGGAGGCGTATTTAACAAGAAGATCATGCTCCCGGAGCTTATTTTCCCAGATGACAAAATTATAGGGTGTGAGTGGATGCTGTCGTCTGTGCTCGAGGACAGACCTGTGCACCGTGGGTACTGGAGAGACAGCCTGAACACACGTGGCGTTCATCATGGGAGTGACTGGAGCAACCCCGAGAGCATTGCCAGTCCACACACAGAGGTTTGTCGGAGTTGCGCAGGAGGAGTTGTTTGTTGACGCGGGTGGCGAGCGCTGGAAATGTGTTGTCCCATATGCGATCGGCGGTGCAGTCGATGAAGCTGTGAGAGTTGTGCCCCAGGCAGACTGCGCACACCGCTGGGGAGCGTGAACTGTGTGCGCCGTCTTTAAAACCCTGAGCGAAGACCCGACGAACGGGGGGTGCGGGGGGTGGTGTGCTTCTTGGAGCTCCGTGGAGAGGCAGAGCGCCATCTGTAGCATGGGGATACGGAGCGTTTTGATCTGCGAGAACGGTGATGGGAAGAGGAGTCTCCACAGCCACTGTGATAGCTCAAGTCCTGAGGGCATAGCAATACAAGGTGAGCACCAAGAATGCAACCGCAAGCGCAAACGCAATAAACGCCAACGCAAGAGAAACAAACGCAAATGCAAACGCACATCAAACGACCGCAAGGCGAACATAGCAGTGCAGGTAGAAAACGGCGCATGTGACGATGTGGGTGATGCAACACGGTAACGCATGAAGATGGGAATATAGAATAACAATTAGTTGATGCTGGAGCAAAAGGGCGAAGGTATGCACCGGACACTGCTCGATAAGGTCATGGTGACGCATACCGCGGAAAACGCGATCAAAGGTGCGAAGTAAGGCAGCTTCGTCGATAATTGAGATATCCCAGGCCCCTTTAGAGAGGGGAATGGTGTTGTGCCATGCCCGGCGCTGTTCTTCCTGGTAGATCAAAATCGCACGCTGAGCGATGTGGTCGGGAGAGTTCCAGTATCTATGTAACATAATGGCTCCCCAGAAATGTGCTAACATCGTGATGCGTTGTGCGGGCCAATCATATTCTTCTAGGGCGGATATCATACACGGGACGGCTTGAGCAAACTCCACCGTGGAAAGGTCGCGATCTGCAATGACCCGGGATGAAGGCTTGGCTACCGCAGCGTTAATCCAGACCGTGGAGCCATCTTCACCAGCGGTAGGAATCATGCCTTCATCATCACGTGTGCGATAAGTTGAGTGAGCCTCCTGAAGACCAATGTTGGTCCAGTAGTATAGTTCTACATAGTGCCCCTTGTCGATCTTACACAGTGCGAAGTCAGACACCAAGACTTCATCATCGGTGGAGTCTGGACGGGGGCGAATAGGGATGGGTAAATGCTTGATCCGGTTCTTCTTTTTCTCGTCCACTTTGGTAGCCTCTTCTTCGAGGCAAAGGGCTTGCTGTTGACACTCGGTTTCTTCTTCGGCCAGGCGTTGTTCTTCGGCACGAAGGCAGTTCGTCTTCAGCAACCTGCTGTTGCCACTGTGTGCATAGCGCGTTGTTGGTAGTAACCCAGACTGCGCGCAGAAGGTCGGCAGCCTGAGCTTCAGTGGTAGTAGGGGAGATGAAACTAGCTCGGCTAGCCCAATACGGTTCGCTCATGAAATCGGGGCAAATGAGCAAACCGGGGTCAGAGTGTAATCTATTCATAGAGGATTGAAATGGACAAAAACTGTTTTTGGTGTTTTTTATTCAACAGATCAGCAGTTGAAGAGTGAATATTTCGAGTGTTGGGTACTAGCAAAATATGGATGATGGCGGCGAGAGGAAAGAAGGCGTGTCCTTTTCCCTGACTCAGAATGGGCATAGACTTCGTTCGTATCACGTGCTCGTGCCTCGCCCTGGCTAGAACACAAATTAAGCACGAGATACCGCCGGCATCGGGTGCTATTGCGTCTACCAGGCTCCTCCAGGCTCTTGGTCAGACTCAGATCGTTACTAAGGTCGATTCATATCAGCAACAAACCCCCTGGTGATTTGTTACGGAATTCACGCCCGCGACCTCTGACTAGTAAAGGGTTTGAACTGAGGTACTCAAATTAGTTCACTCTCGCTTTTCCATACTGCGTATCATGGTTGCATCCCCGCGCATTTGAATAGGCTACTTGTTAGTCACTGTTATATGTACCACTGCCAGCACAGTCTCACCGACTCTCACGTTACCCAGCTGATGTTGGGTAGTCCACCATGAAGATGATCAATCCATCAGCCGCCCTTGATATGATGGTACTCGGTCATTCCCAGTTCTTATCCCAATCAGCGGTTCCCATATCTCTGTAAAAGGTGATGCCAAGCACGTTCTTTTTAGATATATAGACGTCAACCTGTTCATTCATACTAATAGTAGTGTGCCATCTCCTCTGTCTTCCTCCCTGGTAACGTTTCTGGATCCCTTCGGCAAGTGGTTCATGTCAGCCACAAACGACAACCACCCTGGAATGCAGTCGCCAAGGACTTGGTTTGGTATACTATTATCACGTTAATTGGTGTTGCATGCCATACCAACAGCTACATTTACAGTGTCCTGGAAGTCTCACTCGAAAAAACTCTCAGGAAATGCACTCGATGGATCATCCTCCGCTGACACATGTTACATGCTGCATGCCATACTGGTCGTGATACACGTCGTCCTTGTTATCTTTTATATCTTCCAATGGGAACATCGTGTGACCCTCCCATTGACATCAATGAACACCGATTTTTGGCCTGTGGTAGTGAGTGCTTCACTGCAAGCATTTTACACGGTACGTGACCTCCTTTAGCTGATAGGTATACCAATCAAAAGACCTCATCTAGATTTACACGGCTGTTCTACTCTTCTTCACCCAACGGCTTGCGATGTCAAGAACGCTAGCACGCCGTCAGAAGTTGACCGCTATTCACGACATCTCTGGTGCATGGACGGGCCTCGGTTCCGCACTCAGTAGCGTCTGGCAACAAATTGACATCCCTGCCTCATGGTGGATGACTTCTGCTGTGACGGTCTACCTTGCAAGCATCTCTGTGCTACATGTCACCTCTTCCACCCTCTTACAGTTACAAACGTTCAATACTTCTATGTCGACTTCTGTGCCAACAACACTAGCATGGTTAAACAACCTACCAGATGCCTCCGAGTCTGTCAGCGTAAACGGCCAAAATGTATATGACGTGAACTGGGCAGCCATTACTGCATCCTTACTGGTTCTCAATCAATTGCCTGGAGTAGTCTCTGCTGGATTATCCAACACTACAATCTACGACACCCCAATAACAAATGCTATATTAGGAAATGCAACCGTGAATGCAACAACGATAACCTCGCGTTGTGGACTGCTTCCCAATATATCGTACTCTATGGATAACACCACAGGTCAGCCGATGATCACGGGAAATTCTTCGGTTGGCAATGGAACTTTTATCGATTTTCTCCCCTTAAACCCTCCCTGTATGTCATCATAGTTTTGAATGGTTTTCTCCGTGTTTAGAAATGTTCACAGGGTCAGACCAAATACAAGTAATTCACCCCGGTATTTCTTCTACTGGAGAACCTATGAGCGAGGTGAGGCTTCTCCGAAATCATCTATGGGCGCCGTAAATACTCTCTGACAATTGTCTCACATCAGTTCTTGAATTTTTCAATAAACCAGACTGGCGTCTTCTTTATGGTCTCTACACTATTAGACATCGATCCCTCAGTGCAAGAGACGTTCGGTGTACCGGTGCCTTGGGAAATGAATAATTCTTGTGCGTTGACTTGTTTTTAATACTTACATGATAACACAGATATTCTGTAGCGGGGGTCCTTGAAGTCTATTTTATACAATGCTCGCTATCGAGCGTGAGGGCAGATGCGGTGCTTGACGTGCAAACCAACAGTCTGCAGAACTGGAATCCCGTGTCCGCCTCACAATCATCCGGGCAGTGGGAGATTACCCAATGGATATCTAATGTTTGGCAATCCGCGGTGCGTTGAAGCTCACTTTGAGGGGTCGAGACGATTTGATGATGTACTGCATACCTAAGATTAGTAATCCGGCTCTGCTTTCATCGGTCAGTAGTGGGTATTCGTTTTCGATTGGAGGTTCCGGGTCCGAACCCTCGATGGCTGATGAGTTAAAACCTTACCTTCACTCCTATGCTGCAATGTCTTACTCCTGGTTCGATTTTATAGGTACATCATGTCATTGGTAGGCTTAAATCTCACCGCCGAGTATGTAAACGCCTCGCTGTTGGGTCTTCCCGTTTCTGCTTTCGTTTTGAGCCCGGATCAACTCGAAGCTGCTATTGCGCGAGTAGCCGCACAACTCATCTGGATAGGTAAGTGGATGTGGCTTTCTCAAGCATTGTCTTATGCTTATGCCGTGTCGCATGTTTAGCGGGAAAAATAGGCACGTCCAATGGAGGCATTCAACCTGGGAACGGAATGGCCTATATTGACGAGGAGATAATTCGCCTACGCCTCAATGTCAGTATGAACTGCGCTGAATTTTCTTCCATTTGACTGATGAACCGTGTGGTAGATCAATATCATTCCTGTGAGTCCGCGATGGTATCTACGCCGTGGCAATTTATCGAATATGAGTCACTCCAGCTGTCCTTTGCGATATCTGCATCGGTGATCATGATAGCATTGGCTCTATCCATGACAAGAGCATGCAACGTATCCAGCGATAGTCAGACTGCCATCCAGAGTACAGGCGCATTGCAACTCTTATGGCTGGGTCGTCAATCAGCCTCTGTCAATGAAGTTCTGGAAGATGTGAAGCATCCGACGGAGGCTAACCTGCGCCGTGCAGGCATGATTGACGTTTGTTTTGCAAAGACGATATCCGACCAAGAAGAGTTGGAGAGTTCCACTGATAGCCTCACTGGTCAAGTTGACCACGGTCGTGACGATGTGATATGAAACTGGGATTAGTGATATCATGGTGACTTGGACAGTTTGGTCTTAGCGGGGCCTATGAAGGGTTATGTATTGAGGCCGTTTTCGACGATAGAAAATAGATGTATTCCATAAATTATTTGATTCACAAAGTAAGTGAGGGTTTGTGCAAAAACCCGCAAGGTTCTGGCACTCGCTATCGAGCAAATTTCCAACTCCGCGGCACGTTGTTGATGGGCAGCTGCAGCGTGATGCCGTCACGCGTGTTCGCCTTGATAAGTCGAAGACTGTCAAACCGAAGTACACCATTAATCTTGGCAGTCGTAAATTCCCTCCCTTGGTCCGAATCTTCAACTTCCACAAAATGAGCTCTATTAAGAAAGAGAAGCCCATCCACTCTCTGATTGCGGGTACGACTGCTGGAGCAATAGAAGCGTAAGTGAAATGATGTTCCACTACCAGAGGCATTGCTCATCTTCAGAAGATAGATTCGTGACGTACCCGACTGAATTCGTGAAGACCCGGTCACAGTTTGGTGGGCAGGTGGGGGGTTATTTTCTTCTGTTATGATAACTGACTGGTGTGTTATCTATTTTCACCAGCGAGAGTCACCTTTGACTATCATTCGCTCGACTTTACGCGAAAAGGGTGTAACGGGTCTGTATTCGGGTTGTTCGGCACTTGTGATAGGCAATTCAGTCAAGGCTGGTGTTCGATTCGTGAGCTATGACCACTTCAAGAGTATGCTGGCAGACGCAGAGGTAATCATGGTCTATTACCGGGAAGAAGGAATTGGCTGAGTATGTTTGTAGGGCAATGTCAGTGCGCCTCGAAGTTTACTTGGTATGTGAGCTCTACATGGGGACTGCATTTATCTGATGATGAAAATAGCTGGTCTTGGAGCTGGTATGACGGAGGCCGTCATTGCTGTTACCCCTTCAGAGACTATCAAGTATGCGCACGCTTCTCTTTGCTCTGCTAATATATCATTCTTGTCCCTTATTTCAGGACCAAATTGATTGATGACGCCAAACGTCCAAACCCGCAATATCGCGGTCTTGCTCATGGAACGATGTCTATAATCCGACAGGAAGGCATACTCGGCATATACCGAGGGCTCTTTCCCGTTGTGAGTATTTTTGACGCGTATAATATATGTATTTCTCAATAGTGAACCCTAGATGATGCGTCAAGGAGCCAACTCTGCAGTCCGTTTTACGACATACACGACTCTCAAACAGTTCGTTCAAGGAACTACGCGACCAGGCCGACAGTTACCTCCAGGGATCACATTTGGGATTGGTGCAGTAGCTGGATTGGTGACAGTCTATACGACACAGCCGCTGGAGTAAGCACTGCCCCTGTATGTGCTGATGAGAGCTCATCGTTTTCATAATCACAGCGTGATCAAGACGCGGATGCAGTCACTATCAGCGCGCCAGCAGTACCGTAACTCTTTCCACTGTGGATATAGGATCTTGACTGAGGAAGGAATCTTCCGGTTTTGGACTGGTACAACGCCGCGACTGGCTAGATTAGTTGTGCGTTGTTTTTCATTATGTGACGTTGAAGTTATCCAAATTTTACTTCTATAGATGAGCGGAGGCATCGTGTTCACGACCTATGAGAAGATTATTAGTATCATCGGTGGTCGGGAGCAGGAGTAACGGTCCATACAAGATGTTCCTGAACCAATATACACCCAACGCACTCCTCGAGAGCATGATACAAGTAATTCTGAACCTGCGGGCGGCCCTCTACGCGACATCAGCCTTATCTTTCAGAGCCTGACTAACAGTGGTTCATGAACAGATATTACAGGGTACAAGTTGTGGCGAGTGCTAGCACACCAGGTTGCAATCATCTCAGTGATACTTCCGCGCACAATCACAAGTCTCTATTTCAAAGCTAAAAGTCCCTATTCCGAGTCAATCAGGATTCTCGCAAGCTTCGTCATTTCTTCCCACTGCCTCTTCTCATGGTCCGCGACCCCATTTCCGGAAGCCTCGACAGATTGTACAGCATCTACAAACTTGGTCATTTCCTGCTTAGCCTGAGTAATGGTGCCACCAGGCGAGTATATCTCCGTCAAGTGCTCATGAGAGAAACTTGCAATCCAATACCTAAGGCAATGGTGGTCAGCCGCGCATAGGACATCTCAGACAAGCCCACTTGGAGTTCTCGTAGTCGGGCTCACGCCTATGAGCGATCGAGTGCAAGTGATCAGAATAGGGATTGCCTTCTTGGGTTTGTACAAGCTCGTGACAGCCATTGAAATCATCATTGAGCAGGTGGAGGACTGGTATCGGCATGAACAGAGGCTTCTAATCACCTTGACGAGTTAAATACTTACCAGCTCTGACGTTGAGATTAGCTGACAGCTGGTTGATCTGAGCTGTAAGATCCTGGTGCCATATGTCTTTCGGCGAGAGCGGAGCGGGAGGCGAACGAGCGAAGAGGGTCTGCACCACGGGCGACGACCAGAGTTCTGGCTCAGCCATCGTAATCTATCGAAAATCGTTGAAGATTAGGGTTAAATAATTCGGAGTCGTGATATACAGGTAGTAGCGGCGGCCTGCTGGCAGTGGGAAGATTCCATGCGGTAGTTGATCTCGTGCTGACGTTGTGCTGACGTACGACTACTGATTGGGCATGCTCTCATGATCATCAGTACCTGAGATTCTACAGATTCTTCATCATAAACACCTTTTATCAACATACTGGCACGGTTCAATGTCGAATGTCCTGCTTCTGAGAGCTGCCAATCAAGACAGCCCGGATCGATATGAAAATGCTTTCAGGTCTCGCGGATATCATCCAATATCAGTTCCGGTACTAGAGACCGTCATAGTTTGCCGCGAGGAGCTAGCACGCAGATTGAGCATTGGTCCAGAGAAGCAGGACCTTTCTGGAGTCATAATCACGAGCCAGAGAGCCGTCGAGGCATGGTTCGAGGCTGCTCAAGCATTGATCACTGCTGATAACAACACACCTCTCAAGCCTGAATCTGGTATGATCTATTGGCTAAACGCATCATATCAGACCTCACAACCAAACAGACTGGTGGTCTGTGCCGTTCTATGCAGTCGGAGAAGCTACGTCGGTCGCGCTTCGCGATCTTTGTGAGAAGATACCTATGTATACACCCAGAGATATTCGAGGCGGCTCAGAGACGGGGACTGCGGAACGCCTTGCGGGATTCATACTCAAGGATCTTCCCTCGGATGGGACAAGCAGAAAACTTTTCTACCTCACTGGAGATAAAAATCGTGATACATTGCCGAGGATTCTAGAGTCGGCTGGTGTTGCATTAGACCCGCTCCAGGTCTATGCCACACAAGGCTCATCCATGTTTCCTCACGATTTATCACTTGCCTTAGAACATGTCAAAGGAAAGTATTTCTCAGCCTTAGATTTGCAGCACTTTTGAAATTTATATAGAGGAGGGATCATCCTGGGGATGGATTGTCTACTTCGCCCCTTCGGTAGCTGAATTCGTGACGCCAATCCTACGGAATCACTTCGCCCTGCCTGTGGTCAATTTGAGCACGGAGCCTGAGGATTGCACTCAACTTTCAGAATATCATCGCGTCAAAGTTGCTGCGATAGGACCTACTACAGAATCCTTTCTCCAACAGACTTTGAAGTTGTCGGTGGCAGTAACTGCAAGAAATCCCAAGGCAGATGATCTTGCTGATGCGGTCCTTCAACATGATGAGGCACAATAACATGCAGTCCCCTACGTCACTCCATGTATACCTTTCATGAAAATTGTCACTACTGCAGAACATGCTAAGTACATATGCCACTGCCAGAGCCTCGTTCACTTTTCACACAATCACACGGAATTGACAGACATTACGGAATGAGAAGCTTTACGGAAACCTTAGGAATTGTCGGGCACCAATTTCAATACAATTTGCCTAGTTTACCGACACACTGACCATCTTCTAACTACACGTTCTTTTGCACCACGTTCTTTACTCTACATACTCCTGAGGCAACCTGAACGGCAGCGTAAAGCTGGCTCTTTCACTGTTACGACATGAACTCTCCGCTGCTGCGACAGGAATATGGCGTCTCGTTGACTAGCTTGCTACCTCCCAGGGCACAAGGTCATTCCAGGTCGTCGTCAACAGCGAGCGAGTATGACACGGGATTTGCAGGACCAAGCAGGTCTCCAAGTCCGTCGACGTATGAAGTAAGTTCAGAAATAATACCCAATGTCCTCGGTTGATTACTAAACTTGCGGATAGAATTCGTTCGCCGAAAAAGTATGCCAATACTCTTCTCTTTGTACCATTTGTGACATCTGTCTGCAGTATGCCTTGCAACTCAATCCCGAAGACTGGGACACAAGCGCCCTGCATGTAGGCACACCTGAACCAGATGATTACCTTCACACTCCAGACCCAAAGCGTGATCTTAAGAGTGACAAGGGAGGCCACATTTTCACTGCGCGAGGGATTGCAAACTTGGGATGCCTGTTTCTCTTGGTCGTATTGATGCTGATGTTATTGTAAGTTGTGCCATTGCATAAACATGCTTGTACTAACATTCCTCCCATAGCCTCGGTGAGTTAGTGCATCTCAATATTAGACGCATGCAAGATTCGACAGTTGATATTCTTGGGTAAAGTGTTCCCAATCATCAGTCACCTGTCTAAGAAAAAGCCAACCCCTCAGAGTGGATTTAATCTCGGTGGCACCAACGCAACGGGGCAGATTCCATCCATGCCTGGCAACCGCGGCGTCATAGACGTGGATACTCCGAAGGAAGCATACACGAAGGCATCGTACATGAACCAAAACGACATGTGGGACCTTGTTTTCTCTGACGAGTTTCAAGTTGAAGGACGGTCATTTTATCCCGGAGACGATCCATACTGGGAGGCTCCAAGCTTGCATTACTGGGGCACGGTCAGTCAAGGTCGTGTGCATAGATTGTATGGGACTGAAAACATTGAATAGAATGATTTGGAATGGTACGATCCAAGCCAAGTAACAACGAAGGGAGGCGCATTGCAAATAACGCTGGCGAAGGTTGATCCTGCTTCAAACCACAATCTTACATACAAGTCAGGCATGGTAAGCCAAGATCATTTCATCGTGACATACTGAGGCATATATCATCTTGTAGGTCCAAACATGGTAACGAGTTCGACTCTATGTTACCTTCGACGCTAATGAGTGCCTAAAGGAATAAATTCTGTTTCACAGGCGGCCTCATTGAGAGTGAGCTACCCATGCGTTGTTTACTGCCGATGTCTGCTAATCACTGAGATGTAGCTTCCGTTATCCTACCGGGATCTAACAATGTCCAGTAAGTAGGCTGCTGTCAGATCATCGCGTTCTGCTGAACACCTGTCATTAAAGTGGTCTTTGGCCTGCTATGTGAGTTTGGACTTTTTAATATGAGAACGTGATTAATATCTTCTATCAAGCTGGACAATGGGAAATTTAGGTTCGTGCATTTCTGTCTCGTCGCTTTGAGTATTTAAACCAACCATTGCCGAAGGTCGCGCAGGCTTCGGTGCTAGTTTAGAAGGATTGGTACGTGAACCTCTATCGAAGAGGTTATATTAATCAGACTATTCCAGTGGCCATACTCATATGACAGCTGTGACGTCGGCACGTTGCCAAATCAAACTTATCCTGGGACATCCAAGCCGCTCGCTGCTGTACAGAACGGCGACCCTGATCATGGTGGCGTCTTGGTTAGTTCGCTGCACGAATTATCGTCCTAGATCTCCATTCATCTTTTGCAGTCATTTTTGCCCGGTCAACGACTGTCAGCTTGTACCTGCCCTGGTGAATCACATCCCGGTCCAGTCCGTACAAATGGCGATTATGTCGGTCGTTCCGCACCGGAGATCGATATCTTCGAGGCGACAGTCGATGGTGGGATTGGCAAGGTTCGCTTACTTCAAGTTTCAATCAGCGTTGACTCACGAATTCATTAAGGTCTCCCAATCGGCACAATGGGCTCCTTTCAACGTAGGTCTGGATTATGGTCAACTGGGCTGTTATTTGACTCTCTCAGGCGGGATACGAATGGTTGAACACTTCCAACAATCTGCAGATTTATAATTCAGACATGACTGTTCTGAATCCTTACCATGGGGGTATGTGCTCATTTTTCATGCCAAATTTGTACCCAACAGTTGCGTTGCAGGAGCGTATCAACAGACTACTAGTGGTCTCTCGCTCACGGACCAAGACTGCTATGAGCTTGATAAGGGTTGCTATAGCATCTACGGGTTTGAATACAAACCAGGGTTTGCAGAGGTCCGACCAAAATCTATGCTTTGTGCTCACATGTATCTCCAGGTTCGATGCTGGATACATCACTTGGATTAGTAGCGGCGAGGCCGTCTGGACAGTCTATTCTGGTGGACTTGGGCCTGATACCGAGACCGAAATTGGTGCCCGTATCATCCCTCAGGAGCCCATGGTATCACAACAACTTTTCCCGCAGCAAGCATAAAAATACTGACCACGCTATGCAGTATATCATAGCCAACCTTGGATTCTCACTCAATTTCGGAGGGATTGATTTCGAGAACCTCCAGTTCCCTGCGACCATGTCGATTGATTATATTCGCGTCTATCAGCCTTCAAATGCGCACAACATTGGGTGTGATCCCCCCGAATTCCCAACTGCCACTTACATCGAGACGTAAGTCCCGATCCCAACCAAGACTTTCGAGGTTTACTAAATATTTTCAGATACAAGGAAGCTTATACTAACTTTAATCTTACTGGGTGGAGCTTCCCGAACTATAATCAGACAGTACCTAAGAACAGATTGAATGGAGGGTGTTGAGCACTTATCCACGCCATCCGTACATTCACGACATGCAGCATCATTTGCTTATTGGGACTTGGGTTATTTCATTGCATATCATTCTTGCAGCACACGCATTTTACTGACGGTTCTTGCACATGGGACTTTGCATATCATAATCTTGCACATATCCTCATTACATTCACGACTGTTACTTACATTTGGTATACATGCTTATACTTAAGATATTTGGTTCGTTGATTTTTAATCACGTGAGGAATCGCGTCACGGTCAGCCGCTACTCGCTTATTCGACCCTTATCATCCTGTGTCATTTACCACCATCCCCTCACAGCTACTTCACGTTCTTTGAACCTACAAAACATATTATTTTTGTAATGCCTGCTATCTCACGAAAGCGAAAATCTCGCGCTCGGTCCCGATCAAAGCCATACGAGCGACTTCCTCATTCTTCCAGTCCTGCGCTGTCCGATGACCCGAACGGTGACGAATGCCCTCCCTCACCAGTCATAGACACGGCGGACAAACCTGGATTTCCTACATACACTCAGTACAAACGTATAGAGATGGCGTACCTACAATCGCTGTCCCCGCGAAAGCGTGACAAAGCCCTCATATCTCAGTGCATGTTCGACAAGATCTGGGATGTACTACACCAACCGGACGCATGCACTATCGGAACACCACAGTTTCGATTCTGGGTCCGCAAGATGTTCACGCTGAGCACGCCCGACACAGAAGATGACGACATCGAGGTACCAGTTGTTATCCTCCATGAGAACAGACCGGTCGCCGTTCAGGAGCAGCTATATGAACTCTTCTGTTACTGCCATGAAGAATCCAACCATGGCGGTCGAGACAAAACCTGCGCTATCATCCGCCAGCACTACTCATGGGTCCCAAAGGAGCTTACTGCGCAGTTCGTCAAAGCTTGTCCTACATGTACCTTCAAACGAAGCGGAAATCCGGAGCTTATTGCACTAGTTCAAGGGAAGATGTCCTCGCACGAGCTGAATGCGGAGCAAATTGAGGAATCTCAAAGTTCGCTGTGCCGGCCGGGTTCCCCTGAAGCAGGCTGGCGGTTTTCCGGAGGTCCACTCGATCAGTCTCCACTCGATCAAACTGGGGATGTCTCTTGTTCCATTGACAATACAAACGGCTCTCCGTCCACCCCTTCACCGTCATTGTACTTGCGATGCTCTAAGCTACTCTTGCGTCCCCAATCACCCTTGCTTGATTCAGCGTTGGAGGATCTCAGTGACATGCATTTGAGGCAAATTCGCGTCGGCTTGCACCCATTGACCTTGGACATTGCGAGTCTGTGCAGTCATTCTGATGCGAAGCCAGGTGACTTACCATCTCTGGCAGAAGCCTACCAGGACAACACGAAGGATGACCAGTACAGGCTGCCCGCTCTGTGGCCCGAAAACATCTCAGACTCGCTCCCCCCTGAACTACAGCGTCTTCAACTGTCGAGCCCGGTTTGCACTCAGAACGTACAAATTAACCAGATTGATCCTGCTTTGCTGACTAGGGAGGAGAAAATCAACAGAGAAAGAGAGGGCTGCATGGGGAAAGTGTCTCCCCTGCCACATAATTCGCCGTTGGGCCTCAGCGTGTCACCTAACCTCAGGTTCCCGTCGTCTCCCGTGACTCCCGGGGAGCAACAGCATCGCAGCCTGTATGAAGATTGGACACCGTCAAGTCTGAGGATTAATCCAGCGCCTTCTCGATTGCGGTTTGGCAACATGTCAGCGTACCTGACACCAGCGTTCAACTCTGCGACGAGCAGTAGGTCAATGACAAACTCCGAATACCCTATCTTGCCTGTCACCCTTTCGCCACCATTATCACCCCTGACGCCGTTCATTAATGCTTCACCTACGCCTGCTGAAGAGGGAGAATTCGGAGACGAACTCCTGAGAGGAAATTGGCGATGATATAAATGAGATTTCAATGATTATATTGCAGGAATTATGTATATTATTCATTCCAGGGGCTGGTCCAGATCAACGCTGCATGTGCATAAGTATCATCATGCTTGCGCATACATGATGGCTGAAATCTACGCTACTAACCCTTCAGTTCGTGCGATGTGAACAGCTTGCGAAGCCGTATTTAGATACATTGTCCTCGTCCACGAAAACCATCCGAAATGAGGGTGTTCTTGAGCACCACCTACCGAGGATATTTTCAGTGACGATGTTATCGAGCGCCTTCCAAAGAGTCCAACGTGCCCAAGGAGTGAATGCATCTATGAGCAGGTACTGGCCGGGGTTTGGGCTGCGGGGCAGACTCTGACAGGAAGGCCTCTGTGTACATGAAGAAGGAACCATAGCTTCGTGTAGATAAGCGAGGCAATGGGGAAAGGGGATTCTCTTCAATGCCATGTAGGCACTTCGAATACAGATAGTACTTGACAAGCTGCTGGAAACGTATAGTAATGACGTCCCGGCAGACCAGTCGATGGTCGTTTCACTGGTAGATAAGATATTAGTGATGATAAAGGAAAAAAAAAGACTATTCAATTCGTTTGTCGTTCGACGCCGCACAGACAGGTTCCTCCGAGTATGCGGACGTAGATGTGGAAGAAACTGATTGGACGACGGCCAGGAAAATATGACCGTGATGAAGAATAAAAGGAGGATATGTTATCCTGTCGGATGGTCAACATAGATGCGGCGCGAGGGGACATATAGATATCAAGACCGCAGAATCGTGTGGGGCCAGTGAAGAGAAATAGGGATGCAGGCTTGCGGGATAGTAGGACTGCGATGCAAAGGGGCCAATGCAGATGGGCATATTAATATTGTTAGAGGAGATAGTTGGGCGCTTGATCTGCACAGCAGGTACTCAAGCTGTGCAGCGAACAAACAAAGGAAGACGCACCTGTAACCTGTAGAGAAGTTGATCCACGACCTCCCTCCCGGTTTGACTCTGGATCGAATAAAACGCCCCCTCTCTCACAGCTTTCACTCCGCATTTGTCTTTCTGTGTACAAGCCAAGTACATCTGGATTCTGACTAACTAATGAATCCGTACGCCAATTGATGGTAAGAGCTGAAATTATCACGCACCCATTGAGTGAATCCTGAAACAAAAACCATGCTGCATCCAGCCCCTGCGAAGTACAAGCACTCAGTGACAATTGAAGCAAATAACGACATCACCCAAATCTTACACCTGCTTGATGGATAGCGGATCCTCACGTGGTCATTGGATTGGTCATTTCGAGTCTGGGACTTGGAGAAGGGCACACAGGTCGGGGAGAAATGGGAGGAAAAACACGCAGGAGTGAGTGCCATAGCATTGTCATTAGACGGTAAGACCGTGGCAAACGGGAGTTGGGATAGTGCAGTGAAATTGTGGAATATCGACACTGGCAAGATGAGCAAAAAATGGACGGGGCATACAGCGAGAGTGGCGTCTGTGTACTGGGTTTCGAGAATGGAGTCCAGTATGTGCTGAAGTTCAGACGGAGGGCGAGTGATGAGTAAATCCAACAATGGAACATTCAGAGTGTGGGATGTCGAGAACGGTAGTCGGTAGGACAATCCTCAGACCAATCAAGGCACGGGATAGAGTCTTGCATGCGGTTAGCTACCCACCCGATCATGGCAAGATGATTACCAAGGGCGAGAAATCGGACAGGCCTAGTAGGGTCAAAGTTTGGGATGCCAAGTAGCCAACACAAACTTGAACAAATTAATGCTCAGAAGTTCAGAACATTAGACTCGGCGATCGGAGGGACGGGGCCGACTGGAGGGATCCGCCTGGCGTGGACTTCGGATGGAAAAACGCTTATCGCCGGGGATATGTTTTGACCAAATTCAACACAGCCACACGTGATACAGATTTTATCCTGCAAGGAAACTACACCTTAGTAGATCACTTTATTACTATCTCCTCATGAGCGCATCCTCGCAGGCACACCATCCCATGGGACGTGACAACGCAACTATTACTAGTATGGAACCTCGAAGCCAATCAACCAATCGGAGCACTTCACCATAGAGGCACCTGGCCGCCTTACCTTTTCTGCGGATGGGATTCATGGGAAGTAGCTCGTCACTGGCTGCGAGGACGGCCACATATACACATGGAACGTTTCCGCTATCATCAAAGAAGCTGCCCTTTTGTCTGACAATGTAAGGCTGCCACTTCTTTTGCTTCACATTGACAACTTGTCCTCTCAGGAGGTCTCTCCAGAAACTTCACATACTGATGTTCACGCGTCATAGAATGATGTCAACAAATCGGTGTTCGATCTACATGTATGTGATGTGTTTCTTGCCAAATTCATCGCTTTTGAGTAACTACATCCAGGAATGCTAAACCGTGTCGACTGCGACAAGCCCCACTGATTGCCGCCGCCCCGAGTCGCCAAATTCCCCCAGGTTTTTTGAGCAAGTACCATGTCGGGTTGATGTACGCGGTCTCCGTCTATAATAGAACAATGAGTTTAACCAATATGTTGTCAGTCCTCTAGTAACACTCTAAGCCACATGGGGCAACTGAGCGCGACACTCGACCCCGACCTCTCGAAACCTGGTATCCAGCATGCTAAGCGGACGAGACATATCAGGCATTAAGTCGCGAGAGCCACCAGTAGCTGAGGTCCAGTGTACAGTGGGTAAGCCTGTACGTTTTTTTCCTTCTCGTTTTTTCTTTATCGCTAACTCCCTTTCGTGCAGAAGAACTATCATGCAAGAAAGAAGCTACTAGCTCGTCTCGACAATATTCATACTACAATAACACATTGGAGCAACGTAGAGCACTTGGACATCCTCATACCTGCGACTGCGACTGCCTCTACACTTTCTGCCGACGCTGGTGCCGCGGGGGACAACAGGGTCAATCTTGCTTTCTGAATGGCGCACTCGTTTAGTCTACTGGTTGTGTTGCATACCTATTCAGACTTCAGACGGTCAACATTAGAGACGCAGTCGCATCTACACTGGAACGACGTTGCGATTCAATATCACTATAATAAACCCCGGATGCTGGACTCTTTTTTTGCTCTGGATCAGATGTGCGTCTCTTGAGTACATAGACGACGGACATTATAAACTTCGTAGCTCTTCCTCTCCATCATCTCATCTAGTTCCCATGGACGTTCTGCACTGTCATTGTAATGTATTGGCCCTCGACTATGATGATACGATGACGATATCAATTGACACAATTAAATGCCCTTGACAGTTGAGTGCAAATTCATTTGACGCGGGAGCCGAAGATATTGTCTTCCACTTGTAGCTGAACTATTGTGCCGGTGAGTATGCGATTCAGATGACACGAAAAATATGACTAATCGATAAGTCAGATTAGAAAACGGGTACGCAAGCCTCCCTCGAGCTCCGGTCTCCATAAAGTCTTCGTCGCATGCACGGGGGATTTGAAGCTTTCTTCTGCTTCAATACACACAGGGCATGGATCGCCACATCCACGAACTTGGGCAAGTCGATTAAAATTGCTCTCGTGCGGTTAGGATGACAACGAGTTCGAAGACACAGTTCCCGCGTTTTGAGGTTTCTACTAAATGTAGATCGTTCGAGGTTGCTTAGTGTCTCGATGTTATCATCATTCGGCGATTAATTGAATTTTGAACCATTTCTATTGATATCTAAGATTGTAAGTGAATCGTGGCTCGGGACTTTGAGTTATCACATGAGGGTCAATGCTACACCTGGCTGAAGACACGTGAAACTCTTTAAGATCTTGTGCTGGATGCAGGCTTATGGGATTTTCGACCAGGCAACCATCGCCAGGTTATTGATCTTGTGACTAAATCATACCAGGATGACGCTTTACTGTCGATGTGGAACCTCCACTGCTGCCAGTAGGCCATCGCTATTGTGCTTTAGACACAATAAGGTCGCGCAAATGTCTCACTCTGAAGCGTGGCGAAACTTTGCAGCCAACAATGAATATAAAACAATATTCACACTGATATGAATAAAGCGTGGTCAATGCACACACCTGCGATACATATGTAAGGTTGCCAACAGCACAAGTTGTAAACCCACTCACCTCCAATCCTTCAACACCGCTCTTGCTCTATTCGACATAACAATTAGCCCATAGTGAGCAATTGGGATGGTTGGCCTTGGGGGAGCTTGTGAAATGGATGTATCCCAAGCCCCCCCAAGGATGATCCTCTCAAGCCTCATCATTGCTGATACCCAAACAGCTGCTTCTGGTGGGCCATCGCCCCAAATAGTATGCCGACGCGGGAGTGATCAAGTTTTAGACGTCCATCAGGTGTGTCGTAAGCTTGATCAACTTCGCGCTGGTTGCAACCTTGCATCCCAGAATTGTGTGGGTTGCTCTAGGGTTCTCCAAGGGTGAATGTTATATATCATATTGTCGAAGTACAACCACTGACTTACCGTGTGCCGCAGGACATAAGCTCTACAAGGGCCGGCCTTGTGCTGAAGTGGTAAATATGGAAAACCTCTGTGTCTACTCGCGTCAGCACAACACCGGTCCTGTCAAACTTCATTATCCTCGCTCCGCATCTTCGAGTTTTGCCCTAGATGTGGAGCGAGGATAGGTGGAAGTAGTGCCGTGGCAAGAATTTTAAATATCAGGACACGACTATGCATGCGCAAATTTCTAGTCGGCATTGTCCCCAATTGTCTGCAGGTGAATATCGTAGTTTGTCATCTCGTATAGCAATAGCTTACCGTGTGATGCAGGTCATTATGTACGTTACATAGGCGTGCTGTTCATGTCCATAGTGCCAGTCTAAACTCGCCCTGTCAGGCTTCAGGCGCAACTTAGATGTGCGAAACAAGGCACCGCACATAGCATGTACAACAATGTCCGTACAAGAACTGCGACATAGGACGCAACGCTGGTCCTGTCCGCCTTTATTAGCCCAACGGTGTTATCGTTCGTTGAACAATTTTCTATTAATCCATAGCGATAGATGCCTTCGGTAACGCGCCATCACTGGGTCAGGAGACACCTTCCTTGGATTATGGGAGATTAGAGGCTAGGAAGGTAAGAGCAAGATTGCCATTTGGCTGGCGCGGTGACGACGACTAAAATCATATGTGGGATATTTGGGACAATGATCGGAAAGGATAGAATGATGTGCCAGGCAATCCACTCGAATAGAAATGAAGCGCGAGGGGATAGATAGCAAGAATCGTATTGCACAAGTTGAGATATACAAGAGACTCGGTTGATAGCAGACTATGAAACACAATCCTGAGAGGCCAGTGAAGATAAAGAACTTATTGCGCATACTGAAGACTGGGACTTGGGCGCCTGATCTGCATAGCCATGCCGAAGCTGTGAGGCAAAACACGAAGATGCAGCATGACAGGCGCACCTCGTACCGGACTTAGACAACAACCTCCTTCTATCTCGACTCCCTCAACTCTGGCAATAAGACACCCACCCCATCGCAGCTTTCGTTCTGGTCAAGTGCAATATCTGGATTCTGAGTAAGTGATAGAGTCGTACAGCAATTGATAGTAAGAGCTGAAGTTGTCACACACCCATCAAGTGGATCCCAAAACAAAAATGATGTTAAAACCAGCCCCACCGAATCAGAAAAACTTGACGACAACGCCTTACCAAAAGATCAAAATAGATACCAGCATCAGACGCATATTGCCCTTGCCCGGCGGTGAACAGCGGATGATTACCTATGCATGGGACGGCTCATTTCGAGTCTGGGACCTGGAGAGGAGTATGCATGTCGGGGAGGAATGGAAAGATAAATATGAAAGTGTGAAGGCCATGGCATTGTCGCCGGATGGCAAGACGATGGCAAGCGGGAGTTCGGATGGCACAGTGAGATTGTGGAACATCAACACGGGCAAGGTCATCAAAGAATGGACGGGGTATATGGAGAAAGTGCGTTCTGTGTGCTGGAGTTCAGACGGAGGGCGAGTGGTGAGCGGATCCTCTGATGGAACATTCAGAGTGCAGGATGTTGAAAGCGGTACGACAATGATCGGACCAATCAAGGCAGGGGAATGGATGAATGCAGTTTGCTACTCACCCGATGCCATGAAGATTGCTACCAGCGGGGACACGCTAAAAATCTGGGACGCCGACACAGGTGAACTGTTCAAAACATTTGAGGTTGCATTTTCGTACTTGGAATGGAACAGAAAAACGCTTGTTGCTGGGGGATCTGGGATCACGAAATTCGACACAGCCACCTGGTCACAAACAACGGTTCTCGCTGAAGACTTGGGTAATACCCATACCATTTCATTATCTTCCGATGAGCGCATCCTCGCATCACACAACACCTATACCATCCAGCTATGGAACCTCGAAACCAGTCTGCCCATCGGAACCCTACTCCACCATTGTGAAGATTCGGTAACATACGCGACCTTTTCTGCGGATGGAAAATTCCTCATTACTGGCTGCGATGACGACCACATGTATACATGGGATGTTTCCGCTATTATAAAAGAAGCTGGCCTTCTGTCAGATATTGTAAGCCTGAATATATCTCGTTCTCCACCACACTAACAACAGATTACTTCCCAGGTTGATGCTACACCGCGACCAGTCTCAACGACGAAAGGTGCTCGTCGAATACCCCAAGGGTTTTTTGACAATGCAAGAGATGGTGATGTATGTGAACTTCATTTTTGATTAAATGCTTTGACCGATATGTTGTTAGTTGTCGAGCTCGCGTACTCAACCATATGGGCGACATGACCGTCCCACCCCAGCACCACGTCAACGCATCGGCAGTCGCTTATCCTCCTTCTGGCACCGCTTCAAGCCACATAGGGCAAATGAGCCCAGCAACCAATCCCGATCCCACCCTCTCAGCTGGACTCGAGTATCTGGTATACTGCGCAGACGACATGGATCGGATATCCAATTACAAGAACCACCAATAGTTGAGGTCCCGTATACAGCGGGCAAGCCTGTATGCGTCTTCCCTCAAGCGTTCTTTTATATTACTGACTCCCTTTCGCGCAGAGGAACTATCACGCAAGAAAGAAGAAGCCAGCTGCCAGCTCGTCTCGACCTCCCAAGACTCACATCACGCAGCAACCTAGTGCAGTAACGCAAGACGGACTATCATCACAACTACCACCTCCCACTGTCGCCACTACCTCGACACTTTCCGCCGTCGCTGATACTTCCGGGGCAACAGGAACGGGAACAATGTCGCATCCTCGTATCACTGTACGAGATTATGGATGGCGCGCTCGTTTCATCCTTTGGATTTGTTGCATACCTATTCAAACAACAGACGGTCGGCATTAGGGAAGCGACATTTTGGCTTCTATGTTTCATTCATTTTTGTTGTTGACACCTCTATAGCTAATTCTTCACAACCCACTTGACGTCATTGCTCTGGTATTTCACAGGCATGTAGTATCGTAGTGTACCAATATCCATCAAGTGTCGATTCATTATACGCGCATGCAAAGTTTGGAAAAGATAGCACCAAGATCGAGGAAGACGCTTGTCAAATACTCTGAGGATTCTTTGACGATATACATGAGATATGTGTGAGTTTCATCTATAGTGTCAGGGTCCTGCTTGACAAAAATATTAATTCTCTAGTCCCATTCCATGAGCGACGCGACCATCCCACCGTATCAGCACACTGGCTTTTCCTTGGTCGCTTCTGGCGCCCCCACCCCGATCCATATGAGGCAACTCAGCCTGACACCTAATATCGACCCCAACCAACTTAGCTCAAACATTCATCCATTTGCGAGAGCCACTCTTAGTCGAGGTTCCAAGCACAAGGAGTAAGCCTGTGCATTTTTTCCCTTCTTGGTTCTTCTCTATCACTTCCCCGACCTCTGTGGTGGCTCTGCGTATACCAGATTAGCCTGAGTCAAAGGTAAAATGACTTCTTGACTCCCTCAAGCTTCGAAGCTTCAACTTGAAACGCAACACTTATTTTGTCAGTTCTTAAATCACTGTAACTTGTAGTCCGCTCGAGACATGCAAGTGGTGAATGACTTGCTAGGCATAACATTTCATGATGGAGGTGTGCACTGCGTTATACAAGATTAGAAAGACTCGAGTTCAATCCAGTTCACTAGCAAATTCAGCATCCAGAAGTTCAACATTGTCTCTGAGTTGATGTTTTCGACCGATTGACTATCCTAGGTCATGATAGAGTGTTGGCCAGTCAGGAGGAACTAACGGGGCGAAATGGAGAGCTACACAACTTCAGGTGAGTGTGATCATTCGACATGGCAGGCTGCATGATCTGACAGATCCCACAGGAGCACTTGTGATTGCTAATATCTGGCGATCCTCCTTATATGTTCAGCTGTATGTACAGGTCAGAAACAGCATGGGACAACCATGATGAGCCGGACCTGTTTAAACCAGGAAGGAATATTTTACCTGCGAGTGACCCACTATCCATAAGAAGAAGACCCCTACTTGAAGGTAAAGCAAGTCGAATAATATCAAGGTTCGCTTTCCCTTTTCAAATTCTCCTGACAATAAATACTGGTGCGTCGTGGTCAGTCCACATTCCATAACAGGCTACTTTATCAAGCTGTGGATGCACTGTGGATGTGGACACTTCCCGGGACCCTACAAGAAGCTCCCATCCGCATCTTCTCTATCCTTAACTTTTACCACGCAAGTCATTTTACACCCCCATCCTTCTTAGTCGCCGTTGGGCTTGCCCACTGGGTTCCCCGATATCCTCTTACCTTACGGCCGCACCGCGCCCCACAGCTTCTATTCGCTGCAGGGTTACTCCATCCTGCCCCATATTGGCCACGTCCTGCCCTATAGCGACTACACGCTTCCCCCTAGTTTCGGATTGTCATCTTCCATGACTTCCATTAAACCACAGGGTAGTCTTTTACCGAGTATGCCGGGTTGCAACATTCGCGCGTCTGTGCCAAGCGCCCAGGCCAGACCTTATCCATCTCGTATGCCCTCATCCCCGACCACATCATTCATCGGGCGTTTGTGCACACCTATCGAGGAAGAAGAAGAAGAAGAAGAATTGACTCCCGTGGAGCCACAGGATGGCCTTTTCCCAGGCTATGACATCAGCGCGTCCGAGTCTACGCCAAGCGCTCAGGCCGGACCTTATCCATCTCGTACACCCTCATCCCCAAGCACATCATTCATCAGGAGTTTGTGTACACTTATCGAAGAGGAGGAAGAAGAATTGATTTCCGTGGAGCCACAAGGTGGCCTTTTCTCGGGCTGTGACGTCAGCGCGTCTGTGCCAGGCGCTCAGGCTGGATCCTATCGTACGCCTTCATCCCCGAGCACATCATTCATCAGGCGATTGTGCACACTTATCGAGGAGGGAGAAGAAGAATGAGCGTTGAGAAGCAGTTGAAGAATCGGAAGATGGTGTAGTGTAGATGAGATCTCGATGCGCATGAATTATGTATATTATCCATTCCTTAAGCTAAGACTGACACATACGTATATACTGTACAGCATATGAATTGAGATTTAAAAGGAAGAAAGCCAATGATGAAATAATAATAATCTGACTTTATGAGACTGGCTGAAAGCTCGGGAAGTGCGATGGTGGACATCATGTAGAAACCAAGGAGCTATGATAGAAATGAACCCAAGTGGAATGAAAACTAGACCAGCCAGCGTGGCACGGTAGGACGTCTTGAGCAGAACGAGAAAGGCTACGGCACGAGTGAGGCATAGGTGGCGAGCAGCGTGCATGAATACGTATCGATCCCACAGCTCCAGAACCCCATCTTGGAACACATCTGTATAATGTACACGAAATGAGTAAAGAGAAAACAAGAATTGTACACGTGCCATTGATCTACACAATATGCTGAAGTTGTGAGTCAAACGGATACAGCATAAATATACACCTGAAGAAGCCTTAAACGTTTAAACGTTTGAACAACAACTATCACCAAACATGACTCCTGCCCTTGTATGCAAAGAAAAATCAAAAGCCTTGATAAGATTGAATATGGAAGGACAATCGAGCCTAGCTAGTCGCGTAACATATAAAACTCTCTTGCTGCCCAGATGCACCTGCTGACCAGCATGACCCTCAGACTTAATGCATCGCACAGAACGGTAATTGCAAAGTAGATCGAACCTTTTCTTGCGCGAATCGGAAGAAGCGAACGGCTCGGTAATGTCATGTTTGCATCGAGGAGCGCTGCAGCGAGGGGTTTCCATGCTTGTACCATAGATGTTGCTCGTCAAGCACTGTACCCAACCGGAGGGATCAAGGTAGGCGTCAAGATGTAGGTTTTTATTATCACACTTACCAGGTGTTGTTGACAGCATTGCCCTGCTACATTCTGGAATTCTGTTTGCAAGGCGAAGAGCGTCTGTATTGGCGATGCAACTCGAATATCAAAGACACGAGTGTAGATGCTAGACTTGTAAATTTTGGGGTGAGATTAATCGTCTCATCGTTTGAACCTGGGCCTTCTTGAGCACCACCCGTCGAGGATGCTGAGGCGGCGACTTCTCCGACAGCGAATTCCATAAGTCAACGTGTGGAAAGGTCGCTATCAGAAGATAGAATTGGTGTCGCGCAGACTCTAACAGGGTGACCGTGTACACCATGGAGCAACGAAAGGACTGCAACGCCTCATGACTCGTGCAAATCCGTTCCTCTGAGTACGTAGACATAGACCTGGAAGAGGGAGGAAATGAGTGATTGGATGAAGACTAGGAAAATGTGAGCAGGGTGGACAGATTGCAACGAGGAAGGTGAAAATTTCAGGTTGGACGTTGAGAACCATGACAAGGGCCGGAGGGAAGAGCATGATGCGTCGGATTGGACTCTCGAGAGAAATGGGAATGGATTAGAAGACTGCAGAATCATATTGGCCCAAAGCAAGCTTCAAGTGGTGGGATTGTAGGACCGCGATGCCGATGGGTCAACACAGACGAAGGAAGTGGGCGTATTGTGCAAAAAGAGCACTGGGCGCTTAATCTGCACAGCCAGTGCTGAAGCTGTGAAGCGAACACGAGGATGGAGCAAGGAAGACGCACCAGCAGAAGACTTCAACGACGACCTCCCTCCTGACCTGCATCTCCATTGAACGAAACGCCCACTCCGTCGCCGCTTTCGTTCCGCATTTGTCTTTTTGTATACGAGTCGAGTTCATCTGGATTCTGAGTAAGTGACGAATTCGTACGGCAATTGATGGTAAGAGCAGAAATTATCACGCATCGAAGTGAATCCTGACACCAAAATCATGGATGCCCTTGCGAAGCAGCACTCAGTGACAATGCCTTACCGAATAATCAAAGTAAAGAAGGGCATCAGGCACATCCTACACCTTCCCGGTGGACAGTGGAGTATCATCTATTCATTGGGATGGGTCATTTCGAGTCTGGGACTTGGAAAGGGGCACGCAGGTCAGGGAGGAATGGAAGGACAAAGAAAGAGAAGTGGAGGCCATAGCATTGTTGCCGGATGGTAAGACCGTAGCAAGCAGGAGTTCATATGGCCGCCTGGCGCAGTGAAATTTTGGAACGTCAACACAGGCAAGGTTAGCAAAACATTGACGGGGCATACAAGCCAAGTGATGTCTGTGTGCTGGAGTCCAGACGGTGGACGGGTGGCAAGCGGATCCAGAGGTCATACATGGATGTTGAGAGTGGAAAAAATATCCTTGAACCAATTAAGGCAGGCCCGGGGTACGTAGACGCAGTTTGCTACTCACCCGATGGCATATGGAAGATTGCCACCAAGTGCTGGGTATATATGGGCTGAAAATCTGGGATGCCAACTCGGGCAAATTGCTCGAAAAGCTAATACCTGGCATGGACCTCGGATGGTTTTCTCTATCGTTAAAGAAGCTGACCTTCTGTCAGATATTGTAAGCTTAGATATTTCTTCTTCAATGGCATCACGTTGACAACGAGCTCGCTCATCCTGTCAGGTAGTCTCTTCAGACGCTAATCTTTGTTCGACACTGGGTGCTGTCAACAAACCAGTGCTAGTGTTCAATCCAGATGTATGTGATATTTCATTCATCGCTCTTGACGACATTCCAGGCTGATGCTACCCCGCGTCGACCGTGAGAAGCCCCACAGATCGCCGAAGCTCCAAGCTGCCGAATTCCCCCAGGGTTTTTTGACAATGTACCACGTCCTGTTGATGCCAGTGTACGCGATCTCTATCTTTCATAGAACAGTGTATTTGACCAATATGTCAGTCCTCTGCATCACGCAGTCAACGCACCCTCCTTGGTCGCTTACCGAGCTTCTTGCACCTCCGCCGCTCCAAGCCACATACAACATCACGCAGTCAACACACCCTCCTTAGTCGCTTACCGACCTTCTTTCGCCGCCGCCGTTCCAAGCCATACACAACAACCGAGCGCAACACCCAACCCTGATCCCGCTCTCTCGTCTGGACTCGAAAAATAGTGTCTGGCATGTTACACAGACGATCTCAGTTGTGAGAGCCACCGATAGTCGATGTTCCATACACAGCGGGCAAGCCTGTACCTTTTTTCCATCCTTTTTTCTATTTTATCACTGACTTTTGTACAGAGGAACTATCACGCAAGATAGAAGACAACTGCCGGCTCCTCTCGACCTCCCAATACTTATGTTTTGCCTGTTGGTCATCACAGGGCACAGCATTATCATTGCAGCAACCACTCTCCCCAATGCTACGACATCGGGGGGACCTTCCACAGCCATTGCTACTGCGATGGCGACTGACACGTTGTCCGCATCCTGATATTGTCATAACTCAGGCCGGATGCTGGACTCGGTTTTTGCTCGGGATCGGTTGCGCCTCTCTTCAACACACAGATGATGGTCAACATTAGGTATATTTCGGACATTCCTTACATGTCACGCTTCATGGTATATTGATTGCAACTCAGTATATATACAGTAGTTAGTTCTTGTGTTGACGGCTGTGTGCCCTTGCCAGTGCAGTGAATGTGAACTAAATATGTCACTGGAATTGTACAGACTGCGTTTGTGGTGACACTGGGCATGTAGAGCACGGACAGACAGTCCGTTCTTTCCTTTGGAGCATCAAATGAAATACAGTCGGCTTGTTCAAATTCTTAGGCTAGATACTTGAGGTATCGTACATCTGGATTGCAGCCTGTCTCACCGACCAGAAAGTCCATATAGCTTGCCCAGTGTGCATGAATTTGATTTGATCTTACAAAAATGCGACAAATGTTCGCGAGAAACGAGGGGCAGGTCAATGTGCTGGTCACTGGGAGACGTTGCGTAGCACTGCGAGCGTGCATATGTCTGCTCGATAGTGAGTCAATCACTAGCCTGATTCGCGGACAGCACGTCTAGCCCAAATATGACAGACAAGGGCTCGGAACTACCTAAGATTGTAAGTGAACATGTGGCTCGGGACCTTCACAATATCACATGAGGGTCAATGCCACACCTGGCTCAAGACACATGAAACTCGCTAAGATCTTGTGCTGGATGCAGGCTTATGGGATTTTCGACCAGACAACCATCGCCAGGCTATTGATCTTGTGATTAAATCATACAAGGATGACGCTTTATTGTCGATGTGGAACCTCTGCCACCGCCAGTAGGCCATCGCCATTGTGCTTTAGACACAACAAGGTCGGGCAAATATCTCACTCTGAAACGTGGCGAAACTTTGCAGCCAACAATAAATATGAAACAATGTCCACACACTGATATGGATAAAGCGTGATCAATGCACACACCTGCGATACATATATGAGGTCGCCAACAGCATGACTTGTAAGCTCACTCACTTCCAACCCTTCAACACCGCTCTTGCTCTATTCGACCCACCAATCGGCTCATGGTGAGGAGTTGGGATGATTGGCCTTGGGGGAGCTTGTGACATGGATGTATCCCAAGCCCTCTCAAGGATGATCCTCTCAAGCCTCCTCATCATCGCCAATACCCAAGTAGCTGCTTCTGGTGGGGATCGTTACAAATAGTATGCCGATGCGGGAGTGATCAAGCTTCAGGCGCCCCTCAGGTGTGTGCCTCAGGTGTGTCTTAAGCCTGATCGACTTCGCGCTGGTTGCAACCTTGCACCCCAGAATGGTGTGAGTTGCTCTAGGGTTCTCCAAAGGTAAATGTTATATATCATATTGTCGAAGTATAACCACTGACTTACCGTGCCGCAGGACATAAGCTCTACAAGGGCCGGCCTTGTGCTGAAGTGGGTAAATATGGAAGACCTCCGTGTCTACTCACCTCAGCACGAGCCCGGTCCTGTCAGGCTTCATTGTCCTCGCTCCGCATCTTCGAAATTTTCCCTAGATGCGGAGCGAGGGTAGGTGGAGGTGGTGCCGTGGCAAGAATCCTAAATGCTAGGACACAACTATGCATGTAGCCGGAATTGTCCTTGATGTTCTAGTGGATTTTCTGAAGGTAAATATCGTAGTTTGTCACCTCGTATTACCATGTGATGCAGGTCATTATGTACGTCCTATGAAGGCGACCTTACACTGACATTCGAATGACGTAGCATTTATGTCTTCGTGTGTCAGTATAAGCTCGCCTTGAATGGTCGCAGCTTTGCATAACAGAATGGTGAGTTGCACTAGGATTCTCAGGAGGTAAATGTTATATATTATATCGTCGAAGTATAACAACTGACTTGCTGTGTGCCGCAGGACATAAGTCCTACGAGGGTCGACTGCTTGCGTGAGCAACAGTCACAGGACCAGGATACATCCGACGCACGATCATGTCATTCCCAGCAGACGAGACGATGGTCGTTTGAGAGATCATCTTGCTGGTGGCGGAGAAGGAAGATGCCTTAGGTAACGCGCCATCAATGGGTCAGGAGACACCTTCCTTGGATTATGGGGGGCTAGAGTCGGGAAACGGCTAGGAAGGGGATAAAAGGATTGCCATTTGGCTGGCGCAGTAATGACGGCTAAAAGCATATGTGGGACATTGGGGACAAAGATCAGAGAGGATGGCATAATGTGTTAGGCAATCCACTCAAATAGAAATGAAGCGAGAGGGGATAGATAGCAAGAATCGTATTGCACGAGCCAAGATATACAAGAGACCTGGTTGAGAGTAAGACAGCGAAACACAATGCTGAGAGGTCAGTGGAAATGAATAACTTACTGCGCATATAAGAAACCAAAGGTCCAGACTTGAGCGCCTGATCTGCATAGCCACGCGGAAGCTGTGAGGCAAGACAGGAAGATGCAGCATGACTTGTACCGGACTTGAACGTTAACAGCAACCTCCTTCCAGCTCGACTCCCTCCCTCAACCCTGGGAAGAAAACGCCCACTCCATCGCAGCTTTCGTTCTGGTTAAGTACTGCGTCTGGATTCTGAGTAAGTAATAAATTTGTACAGCAGTTGATAGTAAGAGCTGAAATTATCACGCACCCTTCAAGTGAATCCCAAAACAAAATAATGTGGTGTCCAGCCCCTGCAAAGTATAAGAATTTGACGACAACGCCTCACCGAAGGATCAAAGTAGATACAGCATCAGACGCATATTGACCTTGCCCAGCGAACAGCGGATGATCACCTATGCGCAGGATGGTTCATTTCTGGGACTTGGAGAGGAGCACGCAAGTCGGGGAGGAATGGGAGGATAAAGATGAAAGTGTGAAGGCCATGGCATTGTCCCCGGACGGCAAGAAGATAGCAAGTGGGAGTTCGGATGGCACAGTGAGATTGTGGAACATCAACACGGGCAAGATCATCGAACAATGGACGGGACATACAGAGAGTGAGCGTTCTGTGTGCTGGAATCCAGACGGAAGGCGAATAGCGAGCGTATCCTCCAATGGAACACTCAGAGTGCGGGATATTGAAAGCGGTGGGACAATTATTGGACCAATCAAGGCAGGAGATCCTACCGTGTACGGTGTGTTCGTGGTTTGCTACTCACCCGATGACAAGATGATTGCCACGGGTGGGCTCGGGCTGAAAGTCTGGGATGCGAACACAGGCGAATTGCTTAAGACGCTCGACGGTTTTTTTATATGCCTGGCATGGACCTCGGATGGAAAAACAATTTTTGCCAATGAATCCAAGATCGACACAGCCACATGGACTGTTGACGTGCGTAAACACTTTTCCAATTTCATTTCAGTATCTCCCAATGAAGGTATCCTCCATACCTGGACAAGACAGTGCAACTATGGAACCTCGAAACCAACCAACCCATCGGAACACCACTTCACCATGAACAGATTGCCAAATCCGCGACCTTTTCTGCAGATGGAAAGTTCCTCATCACAGCTGCCGTGACTCCAACCACATATACACATGGGATGTTTCCGCTATCGTCAAAGAGGCTGGCCTTTCATCAGATATTGTAAGCTTCAATACATTTCTTCTTCAATGACCTTTGAACTACGTTGACAATGGCTCCCTCAGGGTGATGCTATACGGCAACCAGTTCCAAAGATGAAAGGTGCTCGTCGAATACCCCAAGGGTTTTTTGACGATGCCCTGTGAGAAGCTAATGTACGCGATCTCCATCTGTTATAGCATGCTCTCACACATGTGCTGTCAGTTGCGCATTCGTCTATCCCAATCCCATGGGTTACATAACTGCCACACTCTATTACCACGTCAACGCACCTTCAGTCGCTTTTCCTCCTTCTGCCGTCGCTTCAAGCCACATGGGACAACTGAACCAGACACCCGATCCCGATCTCTCAGCTGGACTCGGAACCTAGGATTGGTATACTACGCAGACGAGATGGATCGGACAACCAGTTGCAAGAGCTCGAGGCTCGAGGTCCCTTGCACAGCGGGAAAGCCTGTGCGTTTTTTCTCTTTCACAGTTCTTCTTTATCGCTGACTTCTCTTCGCGCAGAGGAACTATCACGCAAGAAAGAAGAAGCCAGCTGCGAGCTCATCTTGACCTCCCAATACTCATACCACGCAACAACCCAGCGGACAAACCACATCATCATTGTCACAGCTACCACCTCCAATTACTACCACCTCTATACTTTCTGCCGTCGCTGGTATTGCTGGAGCACCGGGAGTACCCCCGCATCCTCATATCACCGGTGCTGGATGGCGCGCTCGTTTTGTAGGCTGGGTTTGCTGCATGCCTATTCAGAACACGGACGGCCAACATTAGGGAAACGACATGTTTCGTTCATTTTTGTTCTTTGACTTATCTATAGCTAATCTTTCACGACCTTCTTGCCGTCGTCGTCTAGTATTTCACTGGCGTGTAGTATCATAGTGTACCAATATCCACCAGGTGTTGATTCATTATATGCGCATGTGAATTTTGAAAAAAGATAATACCAAGATCGAGCAAGACACTTGTCAAATACCCCGAGGATTCTTTGACGATACACAAGATATATGTGAGTTTCATCTATAATGGCAGAGTCTTGCTTGACAAAAGTATTAGTTCTCTACCGTTCCATGGGCAACGTGACCGTCCCGCCGTTTCATCACACCAACTTTTCATTAGTCGCTTACCTACTTCTGGCGCCGCCGCCCCGATCTACGAGGCAACTGAACCTGACACCTAATATTGACCCCGGTCCAATTTGACTCAAACCTTCGTCCCTGACATCCAGTTGCGAGAGCCACTCGTAGTCGAGGTTCCATGCACAAGGGGCAAGCCTGCACTTTTTTTTTTCCTTCTTCTCTATCACTGCTCCGACTTCTGTGGTGTCTCTGCGTTTACTGAATCGACGGTGAAGTCCGCATCAATGACGGATGCCAAATCTTGACTCCTTCGAGCTTCAAAGCTCCAACTTGAAACGCAAAACTTCGTCAGTTCCTAAACCACTGTGACTTGTAGCGCGCTCGAGACATGCAAGTGGTGAATGGCTTGCTAGGCACAGCCTTTTCATAATGGATGTGTGCACTGCGTTATATTGGCGTTAAAGGTATTGGCGTTATACAAGGTTAGCAAGACTTGAGTTCAATCTAGTTCACTGGCAATTCCAGCATCAAGAATTTCGATATGCATTGGATTCCATTGTCTTTCAATTGATTTTCTCAACCGATTGTAACTATTCCAGGCTATAACCGATTGTTGGCCAGGAAGCAACGGGGCGAAATGGGGAGCTACACAACTTCAGGTGACTGATCATTCGACAGGGCAGGCTGCATGATCTGACAGATCCCACAGGAACACTTATAATAGCTAATATCTGGTGAGTGTCATTCTTGCTCGACTTCTCCTTATATGTTCAGCTGTATGTACAGGTCGGAAACAGCCCGCAGAAAGGCGTCTTTTACCTGTGAGCGAGCCTCTATCCACAAGAAGACCCCGATTTGAAGGTAAAGCAAGTCGACGAATATCAAGGTTCGCTTTCCCTGTCCAAATTCTCCTGACAATAAATACTGGTGCGTCATGGCCATCACTCCACATTCCATAACTGGCCACTTTATCAAGCTGTGGATGCGCTGTGGATGTGGACACTTCCCGGGACCCTACAAGAAGCTCCCACCCACATCTTAACTTTTACCACGCAAGTCATTTTTCATCCCCATCCTTCTTGGTCGCCGCTAGGTTTGCCCTCTGTGTTCTCCAGTATCCTCTTGTCTCAGGGCCACACCACGCCCTACAGCTTCTATTCGTTGCAGGGCTACTCTACCCTGCCCCCTAAGTGGCTACATCCCGTCCTATATCGACTACATGCTGCCTCCTAGTTTCAAGTCACCGTCTTCCATGACTTCTGTGAAACCACGGGGCGGCCTGTTCCCGAGTTTGCTATGTTGCGACTTCCGCGTGTCTGCGCCAAGCGCTCAGGCTGGACCTTATCCATCTCATATGCTCTCATCCCCAAGTACATCATTCATTGGGCGTTTGTGCACACCTATCGAGGAAGAGGAAGATGAAGAATTGACTCCCGTGGAGCCACAGGGTGGCCTTCTCCTGGGCTGCGACATCAGCGCGCGTGTGCCAAGCACTCCGGTCGGACCATATCCACCTCGTACACCCTCATCCCCGAGCACATCATTCATCAGGAGTTTGTGTACACTTACCGAAGAGGAAGATGAAGAAGATGAAGAATTGACTTCCGTGGAGCCACAGGGTGGCCTTTTCCCGCGCTGCGACACCAGCGCGTCTGTGTCAAGCGCTCAGGCCGGACCCTGCCCATCTCGTACACCCTCATCCCCTAGCACATCATTCATCAGGCGTTTGTGCACACTTATCGAGGAGGGAGAAGAAGAATGAGCGTTGAGAAGCAGTTGAAGAATCGGAAGATGGTGTGGTGAAGATGAGATCTTGATGCGCATGAATTATGTACATTATCCATTCCTTAAGCTAAGACTGGTCCGAGTAACACATACGTATATACTGTACAGCATAAACTTGAATTGAGATTTCATATTATAACTGAGGATGAAAAAAAAACTTACGGCTTTCAGACGCTGACTGAAACCTCAGGAAGGTTGCAGCACGAGTCAGGCATAGGTGGCGAGCAGCAGGCATGATTACGTGTTGATCCACCGCTCATCTTGGAACACATCTTTCTTTCGCTGTATAATGTACACAAAATGAGTAAAGACTCGTGCCGCCAGCCTCTCGGTCATCTTAGCATCATTGCCCACATTGAGGAGCAGTCGGGCGACGAATGCAGTCGTGCTCACATCACCCTTCAGACGCGCAGTCGAGAGCTGAAAATTGCCTCCTTAAGCTATGATGAGACAGGCATCGTACGTACACACCTGATTTATAAGTTGAAGAAATGCTCGGGGATCTATAGGACGTCAATACCAATGTATAACTCTAACCGAGGAATGTGTGAAACGACATGAGAACGAGTTGCTGATGTGTGCTTTGAAAAAACTTGTACTTGGTAGGGGTGAATAATCCCTTACTGGTGATGGAGAAAGCCTATTCAATGTGTTTGCACGACATGTTCCTCCAAGTACGAGGATGTGAATCTGGAAGAGGCGGGAAATGACTGATTGGACGAACGCTAGGAAAAATGTAAGGAGGATAGCAAGATTGAGAATTAGCCAGCAGGGAGATGAAAAAGAAAAGTTCACGTAGAGGTTGAGAACCAAGGTCGGAAAGAGGAGCAGGATGAGTTCAGTTAGACTCCCCAAGAAATGCAGACAGAAAAGATAGATACGACAATTGCAGAATCGCATTGGGCGTGTGGAGAAACAGCAGGTTTGCTGGATAGTAGAACCTTGATGCCGAGGGGTCAACCAGTCAATGCTCATATTGTCAGGATTGGGCGCTTAAACTGTACAGCCAGTTATGTAACTGTGGAGCGAACGCGAGGCGAAGAAAATGCACCAGTAGAAGACTTACACAACGACCTTCCTCCTGAGCTGAATCTCCATAAAACGAAACACCCACTCCGTCGCAGCCTTCGTTCTGCATTCGTCTTTTTGTGTACAAGCCAAGAACATCTGGATTCTAAAGTAAGTGATGGACCCGTATGGGATCTGATGGAAAAAGCTGAAATTCCCCCACATACATTAAGTGGATCCCGAAACCCAAATAATAGAGCATCCAGCCCCTGCGGAGCAAGAAATTTCAGTGACAATGCCTTACAAAATGATCAAAGTACAGAACGGCATCAGCCACATCTTACACCTGCCCGGTGGACAGCGGGTTATCACCTATTCATGGGATGGCTCATTTCAAGTCAGGGACTTGGAGAGAGGCATGCAGTTTGGGGAGGAATGGGAGGAAAAAGATAGAGTGGAGGCCATTGCATTGTCGCCGGATCGTAAGACCCTAGCAAGCGGGTGTTCAGATGGCGCAGTGAAATTGTGGAACATCAACACGGGCAAGGTGATCAAAAAATGGACGGGGCATATAAAGAGAGTGGTGTCTGTGTGCTGGAGTTCAGACGGAGGGCAATTGGTGAGCGGATCTGACGGAATGTTCAGAGTACGGGATGTCGAGAGCGGAGAAACTGTTCTTGGACCAATCAACACAGGGTTGAAAGACTTGTCCGTGGTTTGCTACTCACCTGATGCTAAGATGATTGCCACTGGCGGGGACAACCTCAAAATATGGGACGCCAACACAGGCGAATTGCTCAAAACACTGGAGGAAGGACTTATGGGCCTGGTATGGACCTCAGATGGAAAAACACTTATTGCTGGTGGAATCAACATCACGAAATTCGACACAGCCACATGGACTGTTCTTGACTCCAATGCGCGCATAATCCTCGCCGACATCATTTTACTATCTCCCAATGAACGCATCCTCGCAAGCACATCAGTCCTGGATAAGACACTGCAACTATGGAACATCGAAACCAATCAACCCGTCGGAACACCACTTCACCATGAAGAAAATGTGAGCTGCGCGACCTTTTCTGCAGATGGAAAGCTCCTCGTCACTAGCTGTCGCGACGGCCACATATATACATGGGATGTTTCCGCTATCGTCAAAAAAGCTGGCCTTCTGTCAGATATTGTAAGCTTGGATACATTTCATTTTCGATGACACTGACAACGGGTCTACTCCGTCAGGCTGATGCTACACCGCAACCAGCTCCAAAAATGAAAGGTGCTCGTCGAGTACCTCCAGGGTTTTTCAATGATGCACTGCGAGAAACTAATGTACGTGATCTTCATCTATGATTAAATGCCTTGACAAATATGTTGCCAGTCGCGCACTCGTCCATCCCAATCCCATGAGCCGCATGACCTTCCCATTCCAGCACCACATCAACGCACCCTCAATCCCTTTTCCTCCTTTTGGCGCCGCTTCAAGACACAGAGGGAAACTGAGCCAGATCCCCAATCGCGATCCCAATCTCTCAGCTGGACTCAAAACCTATCTGGTATACTACGCAGAAGAGATGGATTGGACATCCAGTTGCGAGAGGTCGAGGTCCCTTACACGGCGGGCAAGCCTGTGTGTTTTTCTCTTTCACAGTTCTTCATCACTGACTCGTTTTCGCGCACAGAGAAACTATCACGCTAGAAAGAAGAAGTCAGCTGCCAGCTCATCTCAACCTCCCAATTCTCATACCACGCAACAACCCAGCGGAGCAACACAAAACATACCATCACCATCACAGCAACCACATCCCACTACCGCTGCTTCGACACTTTCCACAGTCACTGGTACCGCGGGGACAACGGGAACACCCTCGAGTCCTCATACCACCGTTGCTGAATGGCGGGCTCGTTTTGTGCGCTGGTTGTGCTGTGTGCCTATTCAGCACACAGGCGGTCAGCATTAGAGACATAGTGGCGACTACCGCATCAACCACTGGAACGATGTCACGACATAATAACATCACCGTGATGCAGGCCGAATGCTGGACTCGTTTCTTATTCTGGATAACTGTACATCTGTTGAATTGACATTGTCTGTCGTCTCATCATTCCCATGGCCGTCTGCACTCCATTGTCTGCTTCGTCCATTATGGTTTTGTTTTTGAAAGAAGTCGCATTTCATTCCCCTATGTAGACGTTACAATACGCTTCATGGAATGGGACCTAGGTGCACTACTTTAATTACATCCGCAGGAACACTCAATCCTCAATCCTCAGTACTTTTGTCCATACGTGTGACTTTCTTGAAAGAATGCCGCACCGAGAATGTTTTCGCACCTATTCGAGCGCTCTCGCTCTTGGTATGGTTGGCGTACATATTATCCCTCTCGCTGAATCTCCCCGGTGCAATCATATATCACCCCAAAACGATCTCCTGAATGATCAGCCATTTCCCCCATCAAATGAATTACCACCTATTCATGAACTTCGGCTCTTGAACAGCATGCACGGAACAAGTCCACTGAATAATCGTTGGTCCACGCTGTGTCACTTGTCATAAGCATTACATGTTGTTTTCTAGTAAGCGTAAGACAATTCAACTCGTTCGTATTTCTGGAAGAAGGAAAGTCCGGGCATATCTAAGATGACCTAAAAAGCCACTGCGACCGCAATACTTATTTCTTTGGAGACGTTACAGAAATGACTCGTCCCACCACGCTCCAGTTCTCGAAGTATTGATACCGCGTGTCTTGTAGGAATACTCCTGAGTCCTTGGATGCCGTAGGGTTAGTCAGTGACCTGTTCTGTTCATGAGTAGATCATGATTCAAAGTCGAGGACGAGGTAATCGCCATTAGCTCTGGTCAGGGAACATCAATTATCAGTAGAAAGCGCTTTCTCATCGAAAAACGTACCCCGTCACATTGAGCAGGAAGTCTCCTTGACGCAGAATAGTTAGCATAGGAGAGGCAAGTATAGGGCGATCTTGCCGATATACCACCATATTTTTGGCTTTGGGCGTTTGACAGACCGGCCAAACTGAAACAATGAAGGAATCAGTGATGGGGATGAGATACAATAGGACTGACTCCGATTGACTGAGACCTGTGGACGTTTAGCACTGCAAACAAACTCGGATCTATTCTAGCAAAGATGACGATGGACTGCAAAAAGTTACAAAGTGCGATGCAGAATTGATGAAGCACGTAAAATGTAGTTCTGGATCATGGTCCACTTAGCCATGAGATTGTTCAAATCTTTCCATCGCAGCGTGATAATGCACATGACATTCGAGGCTAGTCAGTCGTGGGTCGTTTCAGTAATAATAAGGTCTTAGTGAATGATAGAGGGAGACTGTTGAATTTGTTTGTTCGGCACTGCAGATACATTGCTCCGAGTACGTAGACGTGGATCTGAAAGAGATGAGAAATGAGTGATTGGATGAAGACTAGGAAAATGTGTGATCAGGATGGCCAGATTGCGAATTAGAGGATATGGCGAGGAAGAATGCAAAAAACTCATGCTGAACGTTGAAAACAAGGTCCAAAGAGAAGATGATGCGTTGAGTTGGACTCTCAAAGGAATGTCGGTGGGAGGAAATAGATACGAAGACTGCATAATCGCATTGGCGCAGGCAGGCTTGTGGGACTGTAGACCGTGCTTGCGATGAGTCAATACAGATGAAGAAAGTGGGCATATTGTGGAAAAGAGCGTTAGGCGCTCAATCTGCACAGCCAGTGCTGAAGCTGTGAAGTGAACACGAGGCAAGGAAGACACACCTGCAGAAGACTTACACGACTTCCCTCCTGACCTTAATCTCCATCGAACGAAACGCCCACTCCGTCGTAGCTTTCATTCAGTATTCATCATTTTGTGTAGAGTACATCTGGATTCTGAGTAAGTGATGGACTCGTATGGGATTTGGTGACAAGAGCTGAAATATCACCTACACATTAAGTGAATCTCGAAACAAAAATCATGCTGTATCCAGCCCCTGCGAAGCACAAGAACTCAGTGACAATGCCTTACCGAAAGATCAAAGTAGGGAAGGGCATCAACCACATCCTACACCTGCCCGGTGGACAGCGGATTATCATCTATTCATGGAATGGGTCATTTCAAGTCTGGGACTTGGAGAGGGGTACGCAGGTTGGGGAGGAATGGGAGGACGAAGATTTTGGAGTGGAGGCCATAGCATTATCGCTGGGCGGCAAGACCATGGCAAGCGGGAGTCTCGATGGTGCAGTGAGATTGTGGAACGTCAACACGGGCAAGGTCATCAAAACCTGGACAGGGCACACAAAAAAAGTACAGGCTGTGTGCTGGAGTTCAGATGGAAAGCGAGTCGTGAGCGGATCCAAAGATGGAACATGCAGAGTGTGGGATGTCGAGAGCGGAAAAAACTATCCTCCGAGTCGGACCAATCACTGGCAGGGCAGCCTGGCCATTTGGCATGCGGGCAGTCTGTTACTCACCCGATGGCAAGATGATTGCCACCAGCGATGTCGACCTGAAAATCTGGGACGCCAACTCAGGCAAATTGTTCAAAACAATTAACAAGCGTTTTTTTACGTGCCTGGCATGGACCTTGGATGGAAAAATACTTTTCGCCGGGGAAACCAAGATCGACACAGCCACATGGACTGTTCTTGACACCGCCGATTCTATTTCACTATCTCCCAATGAGCGCATCCTCGCAAGCACATCATACTTTGATCAGACAGCGCAACTACGGAACCTCGAAACCTATCGACCCATCGGAACACTCCTTCACCATGAAGACAACGTGATCTCCGCGACCTTTTCTGCAGACGGAAAATTCCTCGTCACCTGCGACTACGATCATATATACACATGGAATGTTTCCGCTATCGTCAACGAAGTTAGCCTTTCATCAGATATTGTACACTTCGATACATTTTATTCTCAATGACACTGACAACAGATCTACTCCCCCAGGTTGATGTTACATCGCGACCAGTCCCAAAGATGAAAGGTGCTCCTCAAATACCTCGAGAGTTTTTTGACGATGCACTGCGGGAAGCTAATGTATGGGATCTCCTTCTATTATTCAATACTTTGACAAATACGTTGTCAGTTGCGTATTCGTCTATCCCAATCCCATGGGCTGCATAGTAACCATCCCACTCCAGCGTCACGTCAACGCACACTCAGTCGCTTTTCCTCCTTCTGGCACCGATCCAGGCTACACGGGGCAACTGAACGAGACATCCAATTCCCATCACGACCTTTCAGCTGGACTCGAGTATCTGGTATACTACGCAGACGAGATGGATCAGACATCCAGTTGCGAGAGGTCGAGGTCCCGTGCACAGCGGGAAAGCCTGTGCGTTTTTTTTTATTCTTGCTCTTCTTCGTCACTGACTCTTTTTCTCACAGAGGAACTATCACGCGAGAAAGAAGCCAGCCACCAGCTCGTCTCGACCTTCCAATACTCACACTATACAACAACACAGTGCAGCAACACAGAGCATCCCACCATCATCACAGCAATCATCTACAGCTGCTATTACTTCGACACTTTCTGCTGTCCCTGGTACCGCTTAGGCAACTGGGACAACCTCGCGTACTCGCATCACCATAGATTCTGGATGGCGCTCTCGTCTCATGCTCTGGGTTTGTTGCATGCCTATTCAGCACACCGACGGTCAACATTAGGGGAGTGACATTTTGACTTGTGTGTTCATTCATTTATTTTGTTGCTTCTGATTCTTCGTGTATATGACTCCCCTGCTGCCATTGTCGAGTTTTTCTTCAGCATGTGGTATGTTCGGGCATCAGGCCTCGCATATTCCATCGTATTATATATGCATGTCCTACAGAATGGACAAAATTGATCGTGAAACACTTCACATTGTATGTCAAGTTGGGATAACGTTAAAATTGAGTATTTCTGTGATGGAAAATGCAGAATCGCATTGGCCCAGTAATGCAGGTTTGCAAGATTGGACCACGATGCCGAGGGGTCAATGCATATTTGAAGGAAGTGAGCATATCGTCAGAAAAGAGAGTTGGGCGCTTAATCTGCACAGCCAGTACTGACTCTACTGAAACTGTGAAGCGAACGAGGATGAAACGAAGAAGACGCACCAGTAAAAGGTTTAAACAACGACCTCCCTCCCCACTTTAATTTTCATTGAACAAAACACTCTGTCACAGCTTTCGTTCTGCATTCGTCTTTCTGTGCACAAGTCAAATACATCCTGGATTCTGAGTGAGTGGTGGGCATGTATGGGGTTTGATGGTAAGAGCTAAAATTATCGCGCATCCATTAAGTGAATCCCAAAACCAAAATCAAAATCATGGGGTATCCAGCCCCTGTGAAGTACAAGAACTCAGCGACAATGCCTTACCGAAAGATCAAAGTGAAGGACCGTTTCAGTCACATCCTATACCTGCCCGGTGGACAGCGGATTATCATCTCTTCACGGGATGGGTCATTTCTAGTCTGGGACTTGGAGAGGGGCACGCAGTTTGGGGAGGAATGGGAGGACAAAGAAAGAAGTGTGGAGACCATAGTATTATCGCCGGACGGCAAGACCGTAGCAACCGGGAGTGAGGATGGTGCAGTGAAATTATGGAACGTCGACACAGGCAAGGTTATCAAAACATTGACGGGGAACACAAGTTGGGTGAAGTCTGTGTGGGTCATACATGGAGAGTGTGGGATGTTGAGAGTGGAAAAAATATCCTTGGACCAATCAAGGCAGGCCCGGGGTACGTGGACGCACTAGTTTTCTACTCACCCGATGGCACGAAGATTACCACCAAGTGCTGGATATATGGGCTGAAAATCTGGGATGCCAACGAAGGGCAAATTGCTCAAAACACTCGAGAAAGCTAATCAGGACCTGGCATGGACCTCAGATGGAAAAAGCTGGGCGAGTAATACAAGATCAACACAGCCACATGGACAGTTCTTGACCGTCTTGACCTGCGCAAAAACATCACCCAAACCTTATCCGGCTGTGTGCCCTTGCCGGTGCAGTGAATGTGAACTAAATATGTCACGGAATTGCACAGACTGCGTTTGTGGTGACACTGGGCATGTAGAGCACGGCCAGACAGTTCGTTCTTTGCTTTGAAGCATCAAATGGAATACAGTCGGCTAACTCGGCTTGTTCAAACTCTTAATTAGATATCAGCGTACTTGAGGTATCGTACGTCTGGATTGCAGCCTGTCTCATCGAGCAGAAAGTCCATCATATAGCTTGCCCAGTGTGCATGAATTTGGTTTGATCTTACAAAAATGCGACAAATGTTCGCGAGAAACGAGGGGCGGGTCGATGTGTGGTCACTGGGAGACGTTGTGTTGCACTGCGAGCGTGCATGTGTCTGCTCGATAATGAGCCGATCAATAGCCTGATTTGTGGACAGCGCGTCTAACCCAAATATGACAGACCAGGGCTCGGAACTACCTAAGATTGTAAGTGAATGTAGCTCGGGACCTTCACACTATCACATGAGGGTCAATGCCACACCTGGCTCAAGACACATGAAACACGCTAAGATCTTGTGCTGGATGCAGGCTCGTGAGATTTTCGACCAGGCAACCATCGCCAGCCTATTGATCTTGTGACTAAATCATACCAGGATGTCGCTTTATTGTCGATGTGGGACCTCCGCCGCCGCCATTGTGCTTTAGACACAACATTGTTGCGCAAATGTCTCACTCTGAAACGTGGCGAAACTTTGCAGCCAAGAATGAATATAAAACAATATCCACACACTGGTATGAATAAAGCGTGGTCAATGCACACACCTGCGATACATATATAAGGTCGCCAATAGCATGACTTGTAAACTCACTCATCTCCAACCCTTCTACACCGATCTTGCTCTATTCGACCCACCAATTGGCTCATGGTGAGGAGTTGGGATGATCGGCCTTGGGGGAGCTTGTGACATGGATGTATCGCAAGCCCCCTCAAGGATGATCCTCTCAAGCCTCCTCATCATTGCTGATACCAAAACAGCTGCTTCTGGTGGGGATCGTTACATTGCCGATGCGGGAGTGATCAAGCTTCAAGCGCCCCTCAGGTGTGTTCCTCAGGTGTGTTTGAAGCATGGTCAACTTCGCGCTGGTTGCAACCTTGCATCCCAGAATGATGTGAGTTTCTCTAGGGTTCTCCAAAGGTAAATGTTATATATCATATGGTCGAAGTACAATCACTCACTTATCGTGTTCCGCAGGACATAAGCTCTACGAGGGCCGGCCTTGTGCTGAAGTGGGTAAATATGGAAGACCTCTGTGTCTACTCGCGTCAGCACAAGCCCGGTCCTCTCAGGCTTCATTATCCTCGCTCCGCATCTTCGAATTTTTCCCTAGATGCGGAGCGAGGGTAGGTGGAGGTGGTGCCGTGGCAAGAATCCTAAATGCTAGGACACAACTATGCATGTAGCTGGCATTGTCCTCGATGTTCTAGTGAATTTTCTGAAGGTAAATATCGTAGTTTGTCATCTCGTATTACCATGTGATGCAGGTCATTATGCACGTCCTATGAAGGCGACCTTACACTGACATTCGAATGACGTAGCATTTATGTCCTCGTGTGTCAGTATAAGCTCGCCCTGACTGGTCGCAGGTTTGCATCCCAGAATGGTGAGTTGCTCTAGTATTCTCAGAAGGTAATGTTATATACCACCCTGTTGAAGCACAACCACTGGCTTATCGTGTTCCGCAGGACATAAGTTCTACGAGGGCCGGCCTTGTGCTAAAGTGGGTAAATCTGGAAGACCTCTGTGTATACTCGCTTCGGCACAAGCCCGGTCCTGTCAAACTTCGTTATCCTCGATCCGCATCTTCGAGTATTGCCCCAGATGCGGAGCGAGGATAGGTGGAGGTGGTGTCATGGCAAGTGTTCTAGTGGATTTTCCAAAGGTAAATATCGTAGTTTGTCATCGCGTATAAATAGCTTACCATTTGATGCAGGTCATTGTGTACGTCCTATGAAGGCGACCTTACAATGACATTTATGGGCACGGTGTTCATGTCCATGTTTGTCAGTATGAGCTGGCCCTGACTTGTCGCAGCTTTGCATCCCCGAATGGTGAGAGTTGCTCTAGGATTCTCAGAAGGTAAATGCTATCTATCACATTGTCGAAGTATAACCACTGACTTACTGTGTGCCGCAGGACATAAGTTCTACGAGGGCTAGCCTTATGCTGAGGTGGGTAAATATAGAAGACCTCCGTGTATACTCGCGCCAGCACAAGGCCGGTCCTGTCATACTTCATTATCCTTGTTCCGCATCTTCGAGGTTCCCCCAGGTGCGAAGTGAGGGTAGGTGGAGGTGGGAGGTGCCGTGGCAAGAATCTTATATGTTATGACGCGACTATGCATGTGGTCGGCATTGTCTGCATCACTAAAACTAACATCATGGAGCATTCAGCCTATGCGAAGCACGAGAATCTAGCAACAATGCCTTACCGAAAGATCAAAGTAAAGAGCGACATCACCCAAATCTCACACCTGCCTGGTGTTGGACAGCGGATTATCATCTATTCATGGGATGGGACATTTCGAGTCTGAGACTTGGAATGAGGGACACAGGTCGGGGAGGAATGGGAGGACAAAGAAAGAGGATTGCGCGCCATAGCATTGTTGCCGGGCAGCAAGACAGTAGCAACTGGGAGTTTCAATGGCGCAATGAGATTGTGGAACGTTAACACGGGCAAGGTCATCAAAACCTGGACGGGGCACGCGACAGAAGTACAGTCTGTGTGCTGGAGTTCAGACGGAAAGCGAGTGGTGAGCGGATCCAACTTGAAAGATGGAACATGCAGAGTATGGGATATCGAGCGTGGAGAAACTATTATCAGACCAATCACTGGCAGGGCGGGGAGATTTGTGTGGGCAGTTTGCTACTCACCCGATGGCAAGATGATTGCCACCAGCGAGGATGACCTGAAAATCTGGGACGCCAACTCGGGCGAACTGCTCAAAACAATTGAGCGTTTTTTTACGTGCCTGGCATGGACCTCGGATGGAAAAATGCTCATTGCTGGGGGATCCGGGATAACGAAATTCAACACAGCCACATGGACTGTTGTTGACATGCGCGAAAACCTTGCATTTCACTATCTCCCAATGAGTGCATCCTCGCAACCTCATCATACCTGGACAAGACAGCAAAACTATGGGACCTCGAAACCAATCAACCCATCAAAACACCACTTCACCATGAAGACTACGTGAGGTCCGCGACCTTTTCTGCAGACGGAAAGTTCCTCGTCACTAGCTGCATAAACAATGTACATTATACATGGGACCTTTCCGCTATCGTCAATTGCAACGAAGCTGGCCTTCCGTCAGATATTGTAAGCTCATACTTTTCATTTTCAATAACACTGACAATGGATCTACTCCCCCAGGCTGACGCTACACCGAAAGCAACTCCAAAGATCAAAGGTGCTCGTCGAATACCCCCAGGGTTTTTTGACGATGCACTGCGAGAGGCTAATGTATGTGATCTTCATCTGTTATTTAATGCTTTGACAAATATGCTGTCAGTTGCGTATTCGTCTATCCCAAACCCATGGGCCGCATGACCATACCACTCCAGCGTCACGTCAACGCACCCTCAGTCGCTTTTCCTTCTTCTTGCGCCGCTCCAGGCCACATGGGGCAACTGAGCGAGACACCCAAATCCGATCACGACCTTTCAGCTGGACCCGAAACATAGTATCCAGTATACTACGCAGACGAGATGGATCAGACATCCAGTTGCATGAGGTCGAGGTCCCATGCACAGCAGGAAAGCCTGTGCGTTTTTTTTTCATTCTTGCTCTTCTTCGCCAGTGACTCTTTCGCACAGAGGAACTATCACGCGAGAAAGAAGCCAGCCACCAGCTCATCTCGGCCTTCCAATACTCATGCTATGCAGCAACACAGCGCAGCAACACAGAGCATCTCACCATCATCACAGCAATCATCTCCAGCTGCTATTACTTCGACACTTTCTGCTGTCCCTGATACCGCTAGGGCAGCGGGAACAACCTCACGTCCTCGCATCACCATAGATTCTGGATGGTGCACTCGTCTCATGCTCTGGGTTTGTTGCATGCCCATTTGGCACACCGACGGTCAATATTAGCCCGGAAGTGACATTTTGGCTTGCGTGTTCATTCAATTGTTTTGTTACGTCTGATTCTTCATGACTCTCCTGCTGTCATTGTAGAGTTTTTCTTTAGGGTGTAGCATGTTCGGGCATCAGGCCTCATATATTCAATCATATTATATACGCATGTCCTACAGAAGGGACAATTTCGATCGTGAAACCCTTCACATTGTATGCAAAATTGGGATAATGTTAAGATCGAGTGTTTCCGCGATGCTACGTAGAAAAAGATGAGCTTAGTAAACCCCACCTATCCACGATACGAACAGCTATAGAGACACGCACGCGAGGACAAGGATAACTGCATCTGAGCGCATTGTACAGAAAGGACCACTGATTATGAATAGACCATAGATCGTAATTGAGGGCAAGGCAACCACAGAGTATCAATGCACTCACTGCATGAGCATCGTATAGGATAGATGTCTGACGACTGTTGACCGTCGCAAGAACTTTCTCCCAAAAAACATGCTAGTCATGCTGTGAAGCAAGTCTCCCTAATGCTGTCTATGCGCATCAAGGTAGCTCAACTTGTAGAAGTGAGGATAGGAAGGAATGCCTTCTTAACAACACGAGAACCCCTCAGCGAACAAAAACAGCACTCCAACAGCAGGCGGGCAGTCAAACGCTGGTCATCAGATGTAACCCATTTTATCTGAGCTCAGTCCTTGTCGCAGTGCGCAACCCAACCAGAAACCTACTAGAGCTGTTTGCATCAACATGCGATGCGCGTGCAGATGTAATGCAAACCGTTGTAAGAAGAACGACTTGAGGTGGATTTGAGTTAGTGGGGAAGGAGCAAAGGAGATGAAGAAACTGCGGATATAGTAATCAAAAAACGAGGCTTGGGCACATGGTGTGCACAGCCAGTGCCCAACGTAATCTGTGAAGCGAACACGAGGATGAAGCGAGGAAGATGCACTGACGTGGAGCACTTAAACAACAACCTCCCTCACAACTTGATTCTGGATTGAACAACACATCCACTCCGTCGCAGCTGTCATTGCGCATTTATCTTCTGTATACTCATCTGTATTCCGATCAAGTGAGTGACATATTCAGGTGGCGTTTGATATCAGGAGCTGAAATTATGCCATGGCCATTAGGCAAGTCCCCGAACAACTTGAAAGTACATGCCAGTGTTACCACGTCCATACCAAAAACCATCGGCAATAAAGCCTTACCCAAAGATCAAAATAAGACATGGTAACATCGGACGCATCTTACACCTGTCCGGTGGGCAGCAGATCATCACCTATTCATGGGATGGCTCATTTCGAGTCTGGAACTTGGAGAAGGGCACGCAGGTCGGGGAGGAATGGGAGGACAAAGAAAGGAGAGTGGTGGTGATGGCATTGTCGCCGAGCGGCAAGACGGTAACAACCGGGAATGTTGATGGCGCAGTGAAATTGTGGAACGTCAATATGGGCAAGATCATCAAAACGTGGATAGGGCACACAGAGCGTGTGATGTCTATGTGCTGGAGTTCAGATGGAGGGCGAGTAGTGAGCGGATTTGACGATGAGACATTCAAAGTGTGGGATGTCAAGAGCGGACAAACTATTCTTGGACCAATCAAGACAGGGGAAGAAGTGTGGGCGGTTTGCTACTCGCCCGATGGCACAAAGATTGCCACCGGTTTCAATGACCTCAAAATCTGGGATGCCAACACAGGTGAACTGCTCAAAACACTTGACATCTCAGGGTTTTGCCTAGCATGGACTTTGGACGAAAGAACGCTTATTGCCAGGGGACGGAAATTAAACACAACCACCTGGACAGAAACAGCTAATCTCCAGCTCTATGGAGGCATCGATACTATTTCACTATCTCCCAATGGGCGCATCCTTGCAAGCACATCAGACGTCACGTTAACTGCGGTAGTGCAGTGCAATTATGGAACCTCAAAACCAATCAGCCCATCGGAGCGCCACTCTACCATGAAAACTCGGTGAACTGTATGACCTTTTCTGCGGATGGAAAGTTCCTTGTCACTAGCTTCATCGACGGCTTCAACAAAAATGTCCGCTACAATCCCCGTCACGCCCACCTTCAACAACGGTAGCATTTACACATGGGATGTTTCCGCTATCGTCAAAGAAGCTGGCCTCCCATCAGATATTATTGTAAGCTCAGATACATTTCATTCCAAATGACATTGACAACGGATCCGCTTCCCCAGGCTGGTGAGGCTACATCGCGACCAGCCCCAAATATGAAAGGTGTTCGTCGGATACCACCAGGGTTATTTGACGATGCACTGAGAGATGCTAATGTACGTGACCTCCATTTGTGATTGAATGCTTTACAAATGTGTTGTCAGTTGCGTATTCGTCTATCCCAATCATGCCCAACCCCAGCACCACGTCAGCGCATCATTAGTCGCTTTTCCTCAGTCTGGCGTCATTCCAAGACAAGTAGTCCAACTGACCACGACGCCTAGTTTCGATCCCATCCTCTCAGCTTGACTCGAAACCTTGTCTCTAGCATTCTGCGCAGACAACTTGGATCGGACGTCGAATTACGAGAGCCGCCTGTAGTCGAGGTCCCATACACAGCAGGAAAGCCTGTGCGTTTTTTTCTCTTCAACGGTTCTTTATCGCTGACTCGTTTTCTCGCAGAGAAATTATCACGCAAGAAAGAAGGAGCCAACTGCCAGCTCATCTCGGCCTCCCAATGCTCATACCACGCAACAACTCAGCGCAGAAAACACAAAGCACACCATCATGGTCACAGCAATCACCTCCCACTGCCGCTGCTTCGACACCTTCCGCCATTGTTGGTACCGCGGGGACAACAGGGACAATCTCGTGTCCTCATATCACCGGTACTGGATGGCGCGCTCGTATCGTTGGCTGGCTGTGTTGCATGCCTATTCAGAACACAAACAATCAACCGTAGAAACGCAGTCGCAACTTCCCCATCACCTGCAATAACGTCGCGACATAATATTACCGTGATACATGCCAGACTGGACCCCTTGGGTGTTCTGGATTACTGTGCGTCTGTCGAATTGATATTTTATATCATCCCATATTGTTCCCATGAATGTTTGCACTCTATCGTTGTACTATATGTCCTGCTTCATCCGCTACTGTTTTGTTTTTGAGCAAGTCTCATTTTATTGCCCTGTGTAGACCCAACAGCACGCTTCATGGTATGGGATGTAGTACACTGCTTGCAGTACATACATGTGGTAGGAACTCGGTTCTTGTGTCGATGCTTGCGACTTTCTTGAACGAATGCCATACTCTTGCCTGTTGTCATATCAGTTCCTCGGTGGATCTCTTGGCCCCATCATACGTCACCCCCAACTGGTCCGCGAGATGGTCGCCTTCATATCGAAAGTTTCCTCTGTTGCATGAGTTACCGCAAATTTCAAACAATCATATCTCCTTTGCGCTCCTATGTAGTACTTAACGCCACACGACAGTTTGCACGTTGCTAACCCTTGGCTCTTGAATAGTTTGTACTGGAACAAGTCCGTTGAGTAATATTCAGTCTAGTACGCCGTGTTACTCGATTCAACTCGTTCAAAGTACCATGCGATGAATGACACATCACGGGGAGCAAGTCCAGCAAGCATCTTCAGGATGGTTTGACGGACACTACAACCACAACACTTATTTCTTTCGAAGACGTTACAGAAATCAGGTTCAAGTGTTGAGATCGTGTATCTTGATCCAGAATCGAAGATCATAGAGTCATATGTCAACTACTTATGGGGAGGGGCAACACCCTGCCAATTTCAATCTCCGACAGTGACTAGTCTAAAAGGGATTACCACTAGTTAGGCGTTAATGGATGGTCGCGTAATGTATCTACCGCTACAGCTCAAACACATCACCGGTTGCTAAAACTTGAAGGGGGACAATGGCGTGAATTCCGAATCCAATTGTATTCTTGGTGCCACTTTTCAGAAAAACACGGTTTAGAAGGGGATGCATTCCAGCACAGGAGGCAGACAAGCAAATTTTTATTAAATTCCACCAAGAATACAATGAACGAGTAAATCTTGTGTATTCTAGATGGTCATTTACACACCAGCGCAACATAGTGGGGTGCGAGCTGGTAGGTCAATGATTGTGAAGATTCGCTGCTGAATAAGCATAATAAACGCGTCGCGTTGCGTCACATGGAACATCCTGACACTCTGCAGACCCAAATGCCAGCACGATACACAAAGCACGACCGTTGGAAACCTTCCAGAAAACGGACAATAGCTCAACAGCAAGTCACATCACGCATGAAAGCTCAGAGCACTCACACAAAAGGTCTCCTAAAGGAAAACATCCCTCCTGCAGCTACAGTTTCGTCCACCGAATTAACCCTACCTAATGCAATCCTCCCAACATCAAAGAATTTTCACATCCGCTACAGAAATGAGCGCCTGATGCCACAAGCGGACCAGGAGTCATGTTGAAAGGCTGGAGGCAAGCTTACAAGAAGCACAATCGGCCGTTGTCAGGGCTGCCTCGCAGACTCAGGCAGATCAACAATCACTTGCAGCTGCACAAACGTCACTCACAGCTGCAAAGAGTGAGGCCAAACACTTGCAAGAGCGCAACGAGATCCTCACCAAACGTAACCATGCTCTCGGTATGCGTGTTTCTCGCGCACCTCTCCAGAAAGCACACGCTGTCAAGAAGGCCACTGCTCGCACTATAGCACAAACCACAAAACATACAACATTTGCCCTGAAAAACAAGAATATAATCACTGATACTGTCTGCGACACAATCTGCAAGCTTGTAGCAACACACGACGTACCAGTATCGAGTGTTCGAGGTGTCTTTGGTGTTATTGCAGATTGCCTCGGTATTGCTGTCGAAGGAGATGTTAGTACTCGCAGCATTGGTCGTGTGCTGCAGGAGGCAGATGTCGCAGCAAATGTGCAGATGGTAGATGAAATGATGGAAGTAGATGGTGCGTACTAATTGATGCGGTATCAAAGACAATTCAATTAATTTAAGTATCAAGGTGTCACATTGAGTGGTGATGGCACGAGTCACAAAAATGTCAATTACCAATCACACCACATCACATATACCTCCCATGATGGCAAGGGAGTCACGCGCTTTGTGGGAATCCAGCATGAAGTCAATCATACCAGCGAAACCCAGCTGCAAGGCTGGAAGGATGTGCTACATGACATGTGTGACACATACAATACATGCATGGCTGGCGAGAAAGCTGTAGCGGACCCGAGGGAGGTTGTCAGCAAGGTGAAGGGAATGTTGACGGATCATGCAGAGGACCAGAAGAAACTTGTCCGCCTCTTCTCCGATTGGAAGCGAACATGTGAGAGAGAAGTGCAGTGGTGAGCGTGCACTGGCCGCTCTACCCCCTGATGATGTCATAGCCCTGTTATGGCAGACAACCGAAGGAGTAATCACAACCGCTGGTGGGATGGAAGCTTGGGAAGCCCTGACTGCTGGAGAGCAACATCTGCGCTCATCTGAGGCCCTCCGTCAGCTCAAATTGACAATTGGTCAAGAGAAGTTCGATGGTCTCACCGAGTCAGCCAAAGAATCCATTGACTTCTTCATTTGGGCGGGGTGCTGCATGCACAAGGACCTCAATGCCGTTAAGGGTGGTAATACTCGCATGCAGTCTTGGTGGGCTCATCACAGCATCGACGGCCCAATTTTGTTGATGAACCGTGACAACGCAGCCGCAGCATTGGGTGGATCCTCGATTGCGCAAGCACGTGCACTGCATGTCTCTCAACGTGGCGCTGCAAAAGCGCTTGCACTTGCAGGTGCTGTGTTCCGTCACAAAGACTGACAAAAGGGTCAGCAGGATTCTATTCGGTTCTTCCTCGAAGCACACCTGGGCTATTTTTCACCCTGGCTAGACACCAGCAATACCCGCTACCACAGCAACTGTGATGGTGCTTGTGAGTGGATTGTGCACCAAGACTTGTACATCATTTACCTGGAAATTGTAATGGACAGAAGGAAGCTCGTACGCACACCAATATCGAGCAAAATGTCTTTGCAGCATTCCATTGTAACAAAACAAAGCAGGAGCTTGTCTGTTTCAGTGCTTGGGGTCAATGCATTAGCCATCCTTACTTTCGCTCAGTTCGTAACTCCTCCGACAACATTCTCGACCTCAGACCCCTTCACGATAGGCTTATTGCCCATGTCCGGACACTCATTGGTAACATCGAGCTTGTTTTTGGTGCGGACGCCACGTACGAAACAGCCACACTGGACAGAAAGCAATTTGAGCAGCCAGAGGCGTTTTACGCCATTCAGCGGATTGCCCAGGACACCAAACAATATCCTTACCTCCGCCCCCCTCTTCACTGCATTCCTCGAAGGCGCACTGGAAACTCTCCTTCGATTCTGCCGTGAGTTTGCCCCTGATGGCACAATTGCCCAGCTGTCACCAAGAAAACGGGAGCTCGCACGGATGAATAGCACCAATGACGCGAACGAGGGTGCATTAGGAACCCTGCGAGTTTCGATGTGGCGCGCTCCTCGGATGTCCCTCACCCATTTCAACGCTCGTCTGAAATACAAGAAAAATCAGACTGGGACTTACGTGAAGACTTCTCTGGGCCCAACTGCACGAACATACTTGCGGAAGAGGGCCCGCATCAACGATACTGCAGGGATGGAGAGGAAACGAAGGATTGCACAGGTAGAGTATGACAAATATGTAGTCCAGCGGAACCGCGAGAAAGATCAGAAGAAAAAGGAACGTCGTGAGGCTGCAGCTGCGAAACTTGCTGCCGTTGTGCCTCGTCTTACGCAGGAGGACATCAACAAGATGCACGTCGCTGAGCTGGACCTGCAGATCCGCTGGCATCGCCAATTCGACTCACAAATGCCCACAGCGAAGGACCTTAAAGGCAAGAAAGCACTGGAGAAAAGGGCCATTCTGGCAGCTGCAGCAGAGCGGCTTTCTAGTGGAGAAGTAGGACCCAACACCAACGAGGCTGCGACGATGCAGGAAATTGAGGGACATGACACCACCAATGTTGGGGCTCTCTTAGGGGACTCCGATGAAGAAAATGACTTGTAGACAGCCACTCCTCTTAAAATTTGATAAGCTCGTATAATCCACCTCATCTATAGTTCTTGCTGATGGCTCGGCGACCTAAATTCTTGTCGTGTAAGTGTTTGGTTACATGTCTACACCATCTCGTACTTTATTGACCACGTATTTCGCCGATACTTGATTACATAATATCACACTTTGTTTGGTGGCGCTGCGCCTCCCCACTACTTAGTCATGAGTCATGACACAGGCAAGATGTTTGAAATACACGGGAACTCAGCCGCACTGCACCCTCAGTGCTCTTGACACGATCCAGCTCGTGTTTCGGGCAGTGTTCGCAATGCATCAGTTGACGATGGTCATATCGGATCTGAGAAAACAGTTGAAATCAAAATTCGTCTGACTAGACGGAAGTGAAACTCACGATTACAGATGACAAACAAGTATCGATACTCCAACGTGCACCCTGATGGTCAGTTCATATCATGAGTGCCATAATGTATGAATGTGACTCGGATCACAGACGAGAGGGATAATAGACGGTTTAGTGAATGAGATCCTGGCATACGATGGAGGAAGACCATTGAAATTGTTTGTTCGGCACTGCACAGATACGTTGCCCTGAGTACATAGACGTAGATATGAAAGATGAGGGAAATGACAGATTGGATGAAGACCGGGAAATTTTGAGCAGGATGGCTAAATTTCAAATTAGTTAGTATGGCGACAAAGAAGGCGAAGAACTCAGGTTGGATGTTGAGAACCAGGGCCAGAGAGAAGAGCATCATCATGATGTATCGAGTTGAATTCTCAAGGGAAATGTGGTGCGAGAGAATAGATACTAAGACGGCAGAATCATATTGGCTCATGGAAATACAGGAATGCAGACTTGCAGGATTGTAGGATCAGGACTACGATGCCGAGGGGTCAATTGTCATGGCTTGGGCGCTTAATCTGCACAGCCAGTGCTGAAGCTGTCAAGCGAACGAGGATGAAGCGAGGAAGCGAGGAAGACGCGCCAGTGGCAAGTTTTGAACAACAACCTCCCTCCCCATTTTAATCTTCATTGAACAAAACACACACTCTGTCACAGTGTTCGTTCTGCATTCGTCTTTCTGTGCACAAGGCAAATACATCCTGGATTCTGAGTGAGTGGTGGGCATGTACTATGGGGTTTGATGGCAAGAGCTAAAATTATCGCGCATTCATTAAGTGAATCCCCAAACCAAAATCATGGGGGATCCAGCCCCTGCGAAGCACAAGAACTTAGCGACAATGCCTTACCGAAAGATCAAAGTGAAGGACGGTATCAGTCACATCCTATACCTGCCCGGTGGACAGCGAATTATCATCTCTTCACGGGATGGGTCATTTCTAGTCTGGGACTTGGAGAGGAGCATGCAGTTTGGGGAGGAATGGGAGGACAAAGAAAGAAGTGTCACAGAGACCATAGCATTATCGCCGGGCAGGCAAGACCGTAGCAACCGGAAGTGAGGATGGCGCAGTGAAATTATGGAACGTTGACACGGGCAAGGTTATCAAAACATCGACGGGGCACACAAGATTGGGTGAAGTCTGTGTGCTGGAGTCCAGATGGAGGGCAAGTGGTGAACGCATCTGGCAACGTATTCAGAGTGTGGAATGTCAAGAGCGGAGAAACTATGATCGTCGGACCAATCAACCCAAGGAACGCGGTGTTGGCAGTTTGCTACTCACCCGATGCCAAGATGATTGCTACCGACCATGCGGACTGCCTCAAAATCTGGGATGCCAACACAGGTGAATTGCTCAAAACACTCGAGAGTGTGGCCAAGTCTTGTGCCTGGCATGGACCTCGGATGGCGAAACGCTTATCGCCGGGCGATACAAGATCGACACAACCACGTGGACTGTTCTGGACCTGTGCAAAATCTGCGTCAATACCATTTCACTATCTCCCAATGAGCGCATTCTTGCAAGTATATCATTCTCTGAAAAGACAGCGCAACTATGGAACCTCGAAACCGATCAACCCATTGGAACACGACTTTACCATGAAGACAACGTGAGGTCCGCGACCTTTTCTGCAGATGGAAAGTTCCTCGTTACTGGCTGCTTCTACGGCCACCTATACACATGGGATGTTTCTGCTATCATCAAAGAAGCTGGCCTTCCGTCAGATATGGTAAACTTGAGCACATCCATTCTCAATGACACTAACAATGTATCTGTTCCCCCAGGTTGATGCTACACCCCGACCGTCCCCAAAGATGAAAGGTGCTCCTCAAATACCTCCAGGGTTTTTCGACGATGCACTGCGAGAGGCTAATGTATGTGATCTTCATCTATTATTCGATACTTTGACAAATATATCATCAGTTGCGTACTCGTCTATCCCAATGCCCATGGACCGCATAACCATCACACTCCAGCACCGCGTCAACGTGCCCTCAGTCCCCTTTCCTCATTCTGGCGCCGTTCGAAGCCACATAAGGCAACCGAGCCCGACACACAATCACGATCCCGACCTCTCAGCTGGACTCGAAACCTAGTGTCTGGCATAATGCGCAGGCAAAATAGATCAGACATCCAGTTGCGAGAGGTCGAAGTCCCTTGTGCACCGGGAAAGCCTGTGCGTTTTTTCTTTTTCGCGGTTCTTCTTTATTGCTGACTTGTTTCGCGCAGAGAAACTATCATGCTAGGAAGAAGAAGCCAGCTGCTAGCTCATCTCGACCTTCCAATGCTCATACCACGCAACCACATAGCGGGGCAGCACAGAGCACCCCGCCATCATCACAAGCAACCACCTCCAACTGCTACTACATTAACACTATCCGCAGTCGCTGGCACCGCTGGGGCCACTGGGACAACCTCGCGTCCTTACATCACCATAGTTTCTGGATGGCGCACCCGTGTCATGCTCTGGGTATGCTGTGTGCCTGTTCAGCATACGGGTGGTCAGCACTAGAGACATAGAAGCGACTACCGTATCAGCTACTGGCACAACGTCATGACATGATGATATCACCGTAATACACAATGCGGTAGTAGAAGGTTAATGACTGAATTCCCAGTGATAAGAGGAAGATCATCTCATCATGAAACTCTGTATCAAACTTTTAACTGACCGTTTCCCAGAAGTTAGAATGCTTTGCGATGCGGAGGTCCTTGTCGTTTGCCAATGTTAGATGATAAATCTCAAAGTGAATGCAATCTGCATAACCTTCCGGCTGAAAATGGATCGGCAGTAGATAACATTTGCGCATTAAATAGTTTACACTGGGCAGTACCTGACCAAAAAATTCTAACTTCATATGATTTCGACTTCACCATGCCAGAAACCAAACACTCATCAGACATTGAGAATCTGTACAGCTTCGCAGTAATTCGAAGTGTAATAAAACAGCCACCATACAAAATCTATGATAATCGATCCAGGGCACGCCTTACAACAAAGTCGATCATAAAACTGCTGCCCCTGCATGGAAAGAAAAGCCAAAGCCTTTATAAGATTGAGTACGGAAGGACATTTGAGCCTAGCCATGACGTCACGTAACCATATAAAACTCTCTTGCTACACAGATGCAGAGATACACCCACCGATAACCGTTGCCAGCATGACCATCGCCGTAGACTTATGTTGTATAGAAAAGTGATCATAAATTAGATTGCGCAAATTGGAGGACGCGAGTAGCTCAGCAATGTCCTCGTTTACATCGAGAGGGCGTTGCAACGAGGGAGATGTCCGTGCTCCAATTGTTGGTTATAGCTTATCGGTAAGGCAGTCAGTCGCCAAGGTGTGGGGTTTGTCGGTGTCGTTGGCCACCTTTCACATGCTACACTCGGCAATTCCACTGAAAGGCGAAGAGTGTCGGTACCGCCGATGGCAACTCGTCAAAGACACGAGTGCAAATGCCGTACTTGGAGATTTGAGGGTAAGATAAATCGTCATACCGTTTGAAATTCAGGCCTTCTTGAGCACCGGCCATCGAGAGTGCTGAGGCGGCGGCCTCACTGACAGCGAATTCCGCAAGTCAACGTGCCGAAAGGTTGTCATCGGAAAATAGGTTTCGGGTGTCGTGCAGAATCTAACAGGGTGACCATGTCCATCATGGAGTAACGAAGAAGGGACCGCAGTGCCTCATCACTCGTGAGAAGCGAGGATAGAAAAGGAGATCCCCTTCAGCAGGCAGTAAGTTTTCGAGTATGGAAATCTCCTGAAGTCGGGTTGGCAGTCAAGAGTTGGAGGTCTCGTCCCTATGTAGGATGTTATGGTGAGATGCACTTTGAGCCTAGTAGTGGGGGCGTACCTGATTGATGAGAGGAACAGATGCGTCAGACCAATGCACTCCTGCTTGATAGCAAGATCGTCGAAACATTGCTTTCAGCTAAGGGAAAGATGTAGGCACGGCTTACCGAGGCATCCTGTGCAAACGCAGCGCAATAATGATGTCCCAGTATACGAGGCAATGGACAGTTCAGTGAATGAGGCCTTGGGGTGTGATGAGGGAAGACCATTGTGTTCGAATACGATGCTCCGAGTATGTTCTGGAAGAGAAGGGAAATGAGTGAAGACTAGGATAGCCAGATTTTGAATTAGCTAGTGGACGTTGAGAAACAAGGGCCGGAGACAAGAGCATCATGAGATTGGACTCTCGAGGGAAATGCGGTGCGAGGGAATAGATAAGAAGGCTGCAGAATCGTATTGGTTCAGGGAAACACAGGAATGCGGTGGTAGGATTGTGATCACGAGCGGTCAATGCACGAATTGTCATGGTTGGACGCTTAATCTGCGCAGCCAATGCTAAAGCTGTGAAGCAAACACGAGGATGAAGCAAGGAATACGCACCAGCAGATTACTTTAACGACGACCTCCCTCCTGACCTGAATCTCTAGCGAACGAAACGCCCACTCCGTCACAGCTTTCGTTTCCCATTCGTCTATTTGTGTACGATTCGAGTACATCTTAATTCTGAGTAAGTGATGGACTCATATGGGGTTTGATGACAAGAGCTGAAATTATCACGCACCCATTAAGTGAATCC